TGATAAAACTAACTTTTTTAGTTTATTTATTCTTTAGCAGTTTATTTGATTTATTTTTCTTTTTTTTATAATTATTCTGATTTTTTTCTTTCTTTCTTTCTTTCTTTCTTTCTTTCTTTCTTTCATTCTTTCTTTCTTTCTTTCTTTGCTTCTTTGTTAATTTAATTAATTTTTTCATTTTCAACTTTTTTTTTATTGTCAATTAATTTATTTCTTATTATTTCATTTTTTTTCTTCAATTTTTCATTCTAATTAACTAATTAAATATCAATTTTTACTTCGATATTTAAAAAGTTACAACTTAATAAGTAGCGAAGGTGCATCAGGCTTAGGTTCTGGCATAGGAGAGTGTTCTAATCTCTTAAATTTGGCTCTTTATCTTTAGTAAAAATAGTTTATTTATATATTTATTTATTTTGAATTATTATAATTTTTAATTTAAAAATGAATTTTAAACAATTTTATACTTTAATTTATTTTTTAGCTTTTTATTTGATTTATTTTTCTTTATTTTATTCAGTTTTTTTTTCTTTTTCTTTAATTTAATTCTATTTTTAATTTTCAATTTATTTTTACCTATTTCATTTTATTTCTTTATTTTTTCCTTTTAATTAACTATTTAATTTTTCTTTCATATTTAAAAAGTGGTAATAAAATTGGTGCAACTGGTTCATCAGGCTTAGCTTTTGGTATAGGAAAGTGCACTAATCTATAAAATTTGAACCTTAATTATGGGTAGAAATAGTTTATTTGTTTTAGATTATAATAAAACTTTTATATAAAATAGAGTTTAAAACAATATTACTTTTTTAATTTATTTATTTATTTATTAGCTTTTTATTCATTTTTTTATTTTAATCAATTAATTTATTTCTACTTATTTCTTATTTCAAAAATTTTTTTTTCATTTTTCTACTAACTTTCTAATGACTGACTATATTTTTTTTCTTCTATACTTAAATAGTGAGAATAAAATTGGTGATGAAGGTACATAAGGTTTATGTTCTGCTTTAGAAAAATGCACTAATCTCTCAAATTTGAAACTTAATCTTCTGTAAATTTATTTACTTTTTATTGTAATAATTTTTAATATAAAAATGAATTTAAAACAACACAACTAATTCTTTTAATTTATTTATTAGCTTTTTTTTGATTTATTTTTATTTTGTTTTTATCCCACTTGTGTTTTTCTTTTTTAATTTAAATCATTTTTTCATTTTCAAATTTTGCTTCTCATATTAATTGATTAACTTATTTATTAAAATTTCATTTTTTTCTTCTTTTTTTCATTCTAACAAACTAAGTAACTAATTAATTAACTCTTTATTTTTTCTTCTATATTTAAAAAGTTGGAATCAAATTGGTGGATCAGTCATAGGTTCTTGTTTAGGATAGTGCCCTAATCTATCGAATTTGACACTTGATTTTAGGTAATAACATATTATTTGTTTTGAGTTTCCATATTATAAAATATAAAAATGAATTCAAAACAATTTAACTCTTTAATTTATTTTTTAGCTTTTTAATTAATTTATTTTTCTTTTTCATTTATTAAGCTTGTGTTTTTTTTTTAATTTTACTGATTTTTAATTTTCTATTTTTTTTATTACTAATTAATTAATTAATTTCTTTTTATTTCATATTTTCCTTCTAACTCTAATTATCTATATAGTCATTCTTCTATATTAAAAAGTTACAATTAAATTGGTGATGAAGGTGCATCAGGTTTAGGCCATGGTTTAAGAAATTGCACTAATCTGTCAAATTTGATACTTAATCTTTGGTAAAAACAGTTTATTTGTTTTTGAATATTCTTTTTTTATTTTATTTTGCTTGATTCTTTTTATGTTTTTCTTACTTTATTAATTTGAATCATTTTTTTTAGCTTTACTTTATAATTAATTAATTTCTTATTATTTGATATTTTTTCTTAATTTTTTTCCCTCTAGCTAATTAATTAACTCTTAATTTTTTTCTTCAATATTTAAAAAGTAGCAATAAAATAGGTGCTATTGGTTTATCAGTCTTAGGTTCTAGTTTAGGAAAGTGCACTAAACTCTCAAATTTGACACTTAATCTTAAGTAAAAACAGTTTATTTGTTTTTGACTGTGATATTTTATAATATAAAAATGAATTTAAAACAATATATCTAACGATTTTAATTTATTTATTAGCTTTTTATTTGATTTACTTTTACTTTTATTGCGCTAACGTTTTTTTAATTTATTGATTTAAACTATAATATTTTTCTATTTAATTTTTTTTAGTAATTTACACTAACATATACTAAAAGGTACAGCTATCTCAATATCAATATATTAAATTAATTTGAAGCAAGGTGTCATAAATCATAAAGATTAGTTGTCTTAAAAATAAATTATTTATGATAAACAAATAGTGAAAAAAGGATGAACAAAAATAAAAATATTTGAATAATTTAAAATAATAATTTTTATTTTATATTCATACAATCTTATATAACAAGTATATACTTAAACAAAATTACATAATTATTTATTTGTCTATAAATTTTAATTTCTTGGAAATTTTAATTATTCATGTGATTTTTATATACTTTTAATCAAAAAATTAGTAAGATTTAAGGTATTTATTCAAAAATATCTAGATTAATCAAATAAAGTAATATTTTCAAACATATTTTATTTTTTAAAATAATATTTTATGTAGAGTAAGTATTGTTTTTTTGCAGTTCTTATCCTAAAATTTACAATGAATATATATTTATATACACTAACTAAAATAATCTTCATATTTACTACTTTTTGATATACAAACCTTTTACTTTACAATCAGGATTAAATCAAAACACAAAAATCTAAATATTAATTAGCATTTTTTTACAATTATACCTAGAAGTAGATTGAAGGAATTAAATGTTATATTAAATATTTTCAACTTAAGATTGATATAACTTTCTTTTAATTTCATTAAATGTGATCTATTTACATTTCTACCAATCTTTTCATTTTCTTTAAATGTTATTTTAGGTTTGATTATTTTTGGAAGTAAAAGCATTCCCTATAATAAATATTTGTTTATATTTTTTAATAATTAATATAATCAGAAAATTATAATAAGCTTAAATTAATTAGTGTCAAATTCATAATAATATATTTCTATCTGATATAAATAAATTACTTTAGATTCATTTTCAAAAAATATATTTTTTGACAATTTTATAAGTTTTTTCCAATATTTTTTAAGCCTTCTAAATCCATTTCAGTTTGGCTATTAAAAATAAAACAAGTTTTGATTAGCTTTAAAACTATCAAATAAAAGATTATTAATTTTAAAAATTTTTAATGAATTTATAGAAACCTTTACAAAAACTTTAATTATTTAATTACTTTGTTCGTTTTATTTTGAATTAAATAGTTTAAATTAATTAATTGCTAAAATAATTACGCAAAATCAAGATTTAAATATGAAATGTTCTTACACTTTTTCAAACTATTTCCTATATATCTTGTTCCTTCTTCTATAACATCTATCTTACTATTAAAATATTTATATTTAACTATTTTAAAAAATTTTTAATATCAAAAATTACAAAAGATTGAGATTTAAACTAGAAATTTTATGGAGCTTTTCAACGCTTTCTCCTATAATCCTAGCTCCATCTGCAAGAAGAGAATTCTAACTGCAAGTTTTTTAATTTTTATTTTCATAAAGATAGAAAAAATGTTTTAAAATGATTATAATATAGAACCATTTTTCTTTTTTTTGCAATTAATTATTAAAAAAATAAAATTTAATATAAATCTACGTTAAGCTAAGATTTAAATTAGTTATCTTTTAGCATTTTGCGATTCCATTTGAAATATTTTTAACTGATTCTTCATTGAGTTAATTTTACCTAAAAATCAAAAAATTAATAAATAAATAAATACAATTTTTTAAATTAAATTTAAGAAAATGGTGAATAAATACCATATTGTTTATAATTTTAATAATCTAAGAATTTTTATTTAATTAAAATCTAAATTTAAAAATTTTTCAAATAAATTTTGCTCACAAATTTTAATATCCACTTTTTAAGAGATATTCTACATTGTTATTATAATTATTATCAATATTGAGTCGAAAATTAATAATCTTACTAATTTGAAAAAATATATTTTGGAAAACAAAATTACTCGAGGTTGAGACTCAAATAAGATAAGTTTTGATACATTTGTAAATTAATACCTATATTGTTTGCCATTCTAATGCCAATTTCGTTATTTCTAAATAAAATAAAAGCAAATTCAAAAATAGTTAACAAAAAAATATATTAATATGAAATTATTAATTTTATAATTTGTTATTTAAATATTAATTAAAATTTAAATGTTTTCAAATCTTAAAAAAATTATTTTATTACGAAAAATCAATGTTCAAATTTTTGAGTTTTGTTTCTACATTTGTGTTTGTTTCCAAAATAGTTTCTTCTCCATCCTCTTAGATGCTATTATTACTTTTAATACAAATTTAATATATCCTTTGTTGTTTAACTAATCTTAGAAAATAAATATTCCAAATAAAAATTACCTCAATTAGAGATTTAAAATTTCTAGATTTTAGCATTTTTGCAAGCTATTTAGAATTTTTTTTGCTCCTTCTGCTTTGATATTGTTGTTGCTTTAATTTTAATATAATTGCAAAATTTAAACTTCTTAATTGATTTTTTTAGTTAAAAATGGTTAATAAAAATTAATATAACTTAATCAATTAATCTTAATAAAAAATATATAATATAAAACAAATACCTTAGATTTAAGCTTAAAAATACTATATTTTACAATCTTTAGAAGCTTTTTCCTATGATTATCGATCCTTCTTTATTAAGGTTATTGTCACTTTATATTAAAATAGTTATTTATGTAATATGAAAATAAATTAAATGGCTAATTATAATATAATTATAAAATATTTGTGAAATTTTTCTTTTAATTTTTAATGAAATTAAGCTTTTAAAAGCAATAGCCAGTAATATTACTTAAAATTCAGATTCAAAGTAGAAATGTTTCGACATCTTTCTAAATAAATTAGAATTGATTAAGCTCCATCTGCACAAATTTTATTGAGGCTATAAAATTATATATTAATTAATCTTTAAATGCTCAAAATAAGTTTAATTAAAAAATAAAAAATGATGTTATAATGCCTCTTTATCAAAATTATTATTTTTAAAAATATAATATTGACTAGACTGAAAGAATTTACCCCAGATTAATTTCTAATTGTGTAATTTGTTGACATTTTTCTAAAATAGTACCAATATGCTTTGCTGCTTTTGCACAAATCTTATTCTTACTTAAAAAATAAATGAGATAAAGAATTAAATTTTACTTACTGTGTAAAAGCTTCTTATTAGTAAATATAAAAAATTGTAAATTTTATTTAAAACTTAGATTTTAATTTTTCAAAAACTTGTAATAGAAATTTACTACTTATTCACTTATCAGGTTTAATACGGTATACATAATTTTTTAATGCTAATTACTTGATGAAAAAAATAATAAATTTCTAAGAAACTTACAATAAATTAAGGTTCAAGGATGTAATATTTTAACACTTTGAAATACCAGTACAAATATATTTGGCTCCTTCTTCATTAATAGAGTTATAACTTTAAATTATTAAATTTTTTATGATATAATTATATGTAAAAATATTATTTTTCAAATTTATTTTTCTTTTTCTTTAAGATAAAAATATGAATTAAGTAGAAATTACGAAAGATTTAATGTCAATTAACTAATATTATGACATTTTTCTAAGTTTAATGCAATTTATTTAGGACCATCTGATACAAAATCATTCCAACTATTTTTTAATAAAACATGATATTTATTTAATTCTCAAAAATCAAATATATAAAAAATATTTTAAAATGAATGAGGTTTTTCACAAAAACATTAAAGTAGAAAATATATTTTAAATCTATTTATTTTATTAGTTTTTATTCAGCTTCATTCTTCATAATTTTCATTTTTTCTTTTGTGCTTTAGCTTTCATAAAAGTAGCTGTAAAAAATAATCATTAAAATTATTTAGCTTTATATTTTTATTTAATATTTACCAGCAAATAATTAATTAGATAAACCTTGATAAAAAATAAAATAGTAGAAGTTGCTAAGAATATTTTAGTAAATTGTTTACATAATATCATATCTAAAAATTTTGCTCTTTTAATCTTTATTTATTAAATTAATTAAAGTAGAAAATAATTACACAAGATTGATCGAAAGAATTTCGTAGTGAATTCCTTTTAAAATATCATCAATATAATTTGTGTGAAACTTTCTGTGATTTTATAATAATTTGATTTATTTTAAGCACTCTTCATTTATATAAAATTCTTTCAAATTTTATAGTAATAAGGTTGGTTCAATTTTAGTTTATCTGCATGGATCTACCATTGGGGAAATTATTTTTTAGATAAATTTAATATGTCTAGAGTTTTTTAGAGTAGGAAGGACAGAGAATATATTTTTTACATTCAAATCTATTTATTCTTATTGAGTAAGAGGTCTTTTGAGAAAAACTTCAATTAATAATAGCCCTAAAGAAAAAACATCTCCCTTTTATTAAGTTAAATTAATTATATTTCTTATATTAACAAGATAAATCTGCAAGCTTACTTTTATTGAGTTTGATTCTTCTGAGCCAGCTACTTCTTTAATAGGCATGCTTGAATGATAAATCAAATCATACTTCAATTTAAAAATGTATATTTACTTATAATCGTATGTTTAATAAATATTATTTACACTTTGTTAAATATTAAGTTCTTCATCATTCTTAGATAATCCTAAATCTGCTATATTTATTTATTTATGGAAATAGATAGAATCATAAAAATAAATTTGTAAATATAGACTATTTATATATAATAGATACCTATCAAAAATTGATTCTTAAATTTGCTGTATAGGATGTTGCTAGGTTTAATATTTCCATGGATATTTCCTTATTTATAGATTTTAAGTAAACCTTATAGTATTTGATATGTCATCGCTTAGATCTATAAGATATCTAAATCGTTTTAACTTAAAACATCAGTCAAGTTACCTATTTTATAATCTAAATTAATTTATATAAGATTTAAAGAGATTACCATCACAAAACTCCATAGCTAGGGCTACTAGTCCATTTGAGTCATCTTTAAAAGATTTAATCAACTATAAGATATATTTTTCATTCTTAAATTATTTGAATATCTTTATTTGTTTCCCAAATTTTTCAAGAGATGCTAGATCTGATTTTATATAAATCTTTATTGCATGATAGCATTTTTTTTTTATTTAAAATGCTAAAACCACTTAGGAGGATTATTTTTTTTCTATATCATATACATATTCATACTTATTTTTCTTTAAGAAATCCTTAAGAATGTCTTCCTCTAAGTTTTATAATTTCTTTTTGCTACTAAATTAATTTTTGTTTCCCATTTTTTAACTACTTATCTATATGCAACCTTTAATAATTTATTAATCACTATTTACTAATTAAAGACAATTAAGATATAGCCTAAATATTACAAAAATCCTAATAAAATGTAAGTAAAACCTATTTGTCAAAAGCAGTATAAATTATTAAAATTATCAAAAAAAAAATTCATAAAAATATATTTGTAATTGATTCCATTAAAAAAACTAATTTAATTTCTAAAAATTGAACAATAATGATTTGAATCCAAAAATAATTAAAAGCAAATTAGTGTAAATATAAATTATAAATACAAGAAAATAAACAATTATTTATTTTATAATTTTATCTGAAAATTATTATCAAAATAAATAATTAAAAAAAATATTTAGTCACATAAATAATATATTCTTGCTAAATTAGGGATATCTTAGCTACAAATTTTCTTTACATAAATGAAAACTTAAATCAAATTTATTATACCAACTAAGAAAAATTTTTTATTATCAAGAGTTAAGCAAAATTAAAATTTTTTTCAAGTTAAATAAGGTTATTGATATGGTAGATGAAGAATATCATAATAGTTTTTTTCTCTCATTTTTGGTTTCCAACATTCGCGATATACTAATACAGTCATAATTTGTGAAACTTTTATTAATATTTAAAATCTGATCAAAAAAACTTGAAGTCTAATTTATTTTCAGATTTACTAAAATATTTTTGAAATCAAACAAATTTGTATTAAAATGTATTTAAATATCAATAAGATTTATTTTTGATAATTCATGTTGAGTATTTAATAAATTTATAAAAAAAAGAATAATAAATAAAATGAATTTATTGCAATTTTTAATGTTTTCCAAGCAATATTTGTAAATCCGTCGGTATACAAAGGTATTCCAACTTAAGATTTAAAAATCTGTATTCCTGAACTTTGTTCTAAAATTAACACTGTTATATGAAAAGTAATCAATATGCCTAAAATAAAAAATTCTACAGATTAAGAAGTAGATAAATACTGTGAAATCTATGTCAAAGGATTTTTTGATAGAAATAAATCTTTAAACAGCTAAAAAGATGAAGTTCTTAAGATTTATTGAAATTAATTTTAATGAAAATCAGCTAACAAATTAACAATTTTATTAATAATGCTTTACTGTATTATATTTATTTTATACCTTGGTTTGAATTTTAATTAATTGAAAAAATCTTTTATTTAAATTACATTAAATATTAATTCTGATCAATATAAATAAGATAATGAAACTAAATGTTTATTTCAAGCTTAAAAAAATATTCTATTTCACCCTAAAATTAAATAAATAAATAAATAAATAAATAAATAAATTTTCATCATAACAGAGGAATTTAAGTGATACGTAAATATATCTTTTTTAGTTATAATATCTCATTTTTAAGTAATTAATTTAAAAGATGATGATACATTCCATACTTAAAGATAATTAGGATTATTATGTTTTATTATTTACGAAATTACATAATTTGGTGATTTCTTTATTTTCTTTCTTTAACAAAATACTAAATATTCCATTGTATATATATGAATGAATGATTTGATTGTATGTTTTTTAATAAACAAAATTAAATTGTAATTAAATTCAAAAAAAAAAATCAGGTCCCACTGGGATTCGAACCCAGGTCAAGGGATTTAAAGTCCCCAGTACTAACCACTATACTATGGAACCGGTTCTAGCAATTTACTATTTTAAATTTTATAGATTTTTTAAAATGTAATTTTTATATTAGAAAATTAATTTAAAAAGTTAAAGTTTAAATTAAATATGGTTCAGCTGCTTTAATTAATTGGAGTAATTTTATTTTGATAACTTTAAGTTACTTATTTACTTACTTTATAACTTAATATTAAATATAACAGATTTTACCTATTTCAAAATTTATAATCAATTATTAAAATTAAAGTTTTATTTGTTATCCAATTTTATTTTAAAAAGTAAAAAGGTTGTCGACACTGGGACTTCCCAAGCGGTCCCCCACCTTAGTACTAACCCAGCCTTAAGGCGCTTAACTTCGGAGTTCGAATGGGATCCGGTGTTTTCACCTTAGTATGGCCGACAACAAAATAAATATGAATAGGAATCTATTTATTAATAAATTTTTTTGAAATAATAATTAAAAAAATAATAGCAAAAGCTTTTCAAATATAAAGATAACAATTTTATACTTTAAACTAATCTATGTATTTAATAGTCTAAGAGATATTTAACCAATAAATAAAAAATTGATTCAGAAAACAAATTCAAATAAAAAATTTAAAATATTTCTTTAAATATTAAAACTGCTTTTTTAAATTATTTAAATTAAGATAATGTTTCATTTTATCAAACATTTCTGGAAAATTATATTTTAGTTTGTATATAAAAAAAAGTGAATATAAGAAATAAATGCACTAAAATATTGTAGATAGATAGAAGAGCTAATTATTAAAAGGGATAAAAAAATATAGTAGAATATAGAAAAAATAGATTTATGATTAATTAATAAATTATTACAAAGAAATTTACATTTAAAACTATTAAATAATAAACATTGTTATTATTAGTGTATGTATCTTTAATAAGGGAGTACCATAAACACATAAATATGATTTATACTTTTTTAAATATATTTATATTTGACATATTAAAAAATTTCCAATAAATTAAAAAAAATTACATGATAAAATTTAGTAGTTATTATTATGTCTAAAAAAGATATTATTAAAAATTTAAATAACATATAATTAAATAACAAAAACAAATATCAAAATAATTAATATTTAAATCAAAATTAATTAAGACATCAAAAATTTAAAGACTTCTAATTATCTAACTTGCTTTCAAATTCTAAAGTATTTTACATTATGATTTAATTTTCTTGACTTTAAGTATAGTTGTAAGGATTTATTAAATCTAAGTTGCTAGCTGTTTATTCTTTTGATTTGTATAAAAATAAATAAATAAATAATTAATTTGTATAAATCAAAATAAATTTACGTTATAGATTATTGTAGGTTCTCCTCATTAATTGAGATTAGCAGCTTATTTATTTTAATTAATTGAAATTATTGTTCCTCATATCTTACTTTATACTAGAAGTCAAAAAATTATAATTTCTCACCTTTTCTAGTTCTTTTCTTTCTGAAGGGATATTCATAAATTAGCTTTCTATATTAAACTAAACCAACAATTACTCTTCATTATAAATATTGTAGTTTTTTAAGAATTTCAGAAGAAGTCTAAATTTTCTTTAAACTTCTTTTAACTTAATCAAAGATCTTATTTTTTAGTTACTAATTATTTAAACATTAGTGAATTTTTTAGGATATTTTTATTTTAATTTCAAGAGTAAATTCTAAACTAAATTATTTTCAGTTTTATTTGCTTTTACTTATATATTTACCATTCCAAATATCAATTATAAGAAGAGATATATGTTTGGTAGTATAATAATTAAAACAGTGATGACTAAAAAAGCTGTTTATTGTATATATGAAGACGATATCTGTTAAATGTAAAACAGATTCAAAGCTAATATGCAGAGTAAATTTGAAAAATGCTGTAAATCGTTGTAATTTTATTAAATATAAGGCTTTGATTTTCCTACTAAAAAGATATTTAGCGACATAATAACATTCATTATCAAAACCTATTTTTTAAATTGTGTAAGCTTTTTTAAAAAAGTAAAATAAAATTTTACTTAAATTGTCTGATTGTTTTCTTTGAGCAAAATAAAAATTATGATTAGTGATGCTTTGTAAATGATCTTATAGAACTCCCAATAGTACATTTTATCTCTAAATCCTGCAAATATGTATGAATATTACACTTTAATAAAAAAAGACTTCTTTTTTTTTCTGACAAGGTACACGCTAACAAATAAAATAATAGGTATGATCATTCCATAGATGATCAACAGAGGTAAACAAAATATAAATATATATGGTAAATGATATTTTGGATCATAGCATTTAATATTATAGTCTAAATCCATATACTTTTAATCTCCTATCTAAACACAATTCATGGACTTACTTAGCATAGTAATAATTGAAACAAAATAATAAAAGTATATAAAAATTAAAGCAGCTCTGGCATGCCTTATGAATAAATTTTATTTGAACCTTAAAAATATATAGCCTATTATAAAATATGAGGTGATAATAAAAATAGGCTGCAATAAAGACCACAGCAATTAATAAAACCACAAAGGTCGTAAACTTGGATTCTTTGCAAATACGCAGTCTATAGATTTACTGATAGCTCCTAATGGATTACCTGATATTTAAATAGGCACTGAAATAGCCATTAAATTATTAAATAAGCTATAAACCAAAGCAAGAATTTGCAAATGATCATTTAGAATCTTTGAAAATATTTTTTGTCTATCTGATTTATCTAAAATATAGTTTTAAATTAATATAAATTTATTTTTAAAAATGCTTGATTACATGTGTTGCTTAAAAAAAGTATCCCTGACTTTTTAACATAATGGCCTAAAAGTTTAATATACAGCTGTTTTTATATGCTTCTTACCATAAAAAAAATATAAGCCATGACTACAAAGAATTTTAGAAAGTTATTTAAGAAAATTATCATTGTATTATCTGAGCATTTGTAGCATTATTTTGATGTGATATATTCAGCATACGAATCATCCCAAATTTTACCATAAATATCACATGATCCACATATTATACCTATATATCCTCTTGCACAATTGAACTTTTTAATTTAAAATTAAATTAGAAAAAAATAATGATTAAAAAATTATTATTTATCTCATTTATCTAATTTAAAATATTAAAAATAGAAAAATTCATCCATGATTCTTTTCTGGGCATTGCGTATTACATCATTCAAAAAACAAATTATTTAATATGTTATTTAATTTAGTTTTTTTTATAGAAATAATTATTTTTATATTATTCTAAAAAATTTTTTTTTCTTCAAATTTTAATAAGTTTTTCATTTAAAAAATAAGAAAATATTTTTTTTTTTTTTTTCATAATCTTTAATTTAATTATGCTTATATATAAATTTTATTTTAGTATTACAAAGTGCTATATGTACAAAAATAATCTTACTTTTGATTAATTGCTTTCAGGTTAACAGACATCGGGATTTTAATTACAATAAATAATCTCATCAGTAAATTCATTACTTCTCCAGTAACCATTTTTCAATTAAATTTTTGAACCTTAGCAATATTCAGCAGAGTCTGGACATTTTTTGCACTCGCCATCAAGAATATCTAATGAGTATTTTCCCTCTGGACAAGACTCACAAATAATAGAATTACTAAATTATTTTTGAATCTACCCTATTTTACATTGATCAAAGTTAAGTATCACTTAAAGATCTAATTAGCCTTAATTAGTTTAAATATTATTATTAGAATCAACTAATTGTGGAAACACATTTGATTTTATTTTCATAATCATAGTACTGAGTGGCTTATACATAGGTTATACTGTTAATTAAAACCCTCCATTTTAATAATCGCCGGATTTTAAATTTCCTACACATTATATTTATTATATATTTAATTAATCACATGTAATTTCTATATTGATCTATCTAATTATTAGTAAGATATCATCACTTAAGCTATTTTAGTTTTGAATTGATGGAATAAAAACAGGAGTTCCTTCTTCATCAAGAATCTGTATTTTTGAAAAAATTATTTAATCACCACTTTAAATTCCTTCAACTTCAAGTGAGTTTTATTTGTAATTTATATTATGTGAGCTCTAAATAGAAATATCCTTTTGAGAAATATAAATTATTCTTAAAGTTGAACCTAAATTTTTACCATAGATGTTTGCATAATTATTTTATATAGTATTATTTTGCTTGATACCTTTCTATAATAATAATACAAAGTCAGGAACTATTTATTAATAATAAATTCCACCTCCAATTTGAGCTTTATTAGATTCTATTTGGGAATTCTTTAATATTAAATTAACTTTGGATAGGTTTATAGCTCCTCCAGTAGATAAAATGGCTTAATTTAGGACAAAAGCAGAAAAGTTAATATCCAAAGTACCCAAATATTATGCATTTATAAAATTGATTGCACCTCCATTTTTTTAAAGACATTAGTTAGAAATAAAATGTGAGTAATATATATTAACCTTTTATGTCTCTATTAGTTATAAAACACCTCCATATCCATTTGAGTTTATATTATCTTAAAATATACATTCAATAAATGTAATATTGTAGCATTAATTAACTTGTATAAATGATGAAAATGTGTTTTAATTTAATTTGTTAAGCTTAAGAGTTAAATTATCTAATGTAACTTAATCTAAATTATTCAGTAAAATAAGAGAAGCTTCCAAATTAATTTTATTATTAATAAAAGACGATTTAAGTAGCTTTGCCTCCCTTTAATATAGTAGTTAGTTATTTTAAAGTTATTACTCATTAACTGATAAGAACGATATAAAGTTATCAAAAAATTAAGTATCTTAAATAATGAAACTTGTAATGTTAATAAAGTTTATTGCAAATTAATGTTTGTTATTATTTGATAAAGGTTATATGTTATCCATAGACATTTTGTTTATTTATAATACCTGAGCATTTATATCTATAATATTAAGATCTGTAAACACAGAGCTGACAGTAAAATTTTTAACTTAAATTGAATCAACTTGTAAAAATATTTAAGTTTAGTTAGAATTAATTATAGTTATGTCTTTTATGAATAAAGACTAACAAATAAATGAAACTGGATTAATTTCTAAGTTTTACAAGCTAATCAAACTAAGTGAGTTACTATTTTTAACTTAAATTTCTTATATACTCGTAAAAGATGAAAATAAAGCATTAAAAATTGTAGAAAAATGTAATTTAACGATTTAAATATTTGTAATATTAGTGTTTTAGATTAATTAGACATTAAAGAGTTAAATATTCTATGATTAAGTAATATTAAGATCAGAAACTTCCAAATAATAAGAATTATTTAAGTAAAATATTTGCAAGTTAGAAGAACTAAACACATTAATACTATTGATAGTCATATTTGTATTATTAACAGCACTAAAAATGGTTTGAATATTTTGGCTTAAGGTCATAGATTATTTGATATTAATGTTTGAAAGATAAACATTCTTAATTTGAATTTTTGTGTTATTAGTCAGACTGAATAAATTATTTGAAATTGTATTTAGGTTGCTTATATTAAGTTTTTCTATAACAACTAATTAGCAATTTTAGATAATTAATTACCCAAAACTTTAGCTTTCTTGTGCAACTAAATTAATGCTAGTAAGATAGACTTTTTCAAAATTTTACAAAATCAGTGAATTTTATATGTTTAAAGTTATATCTGACATTTAAAATATTTTCATGATATTATTTTAATTTAGATTTATCAAACCCAAGCTCAATTACATTTATTTTATCTAAAAATTTACAATTTGTTTTGCATAAGGAATATTGTCTTACCAACATATATTACTATTTTAAGAAGTTGACTAATTAATCAAAGATAATTATTAACTAACTTAAATTTCGTTAAATAATTAGTGAGATAAAGATCTAATACATTATTAATCAAGATATACTATCTCTATCAATTGAAGAGTTGTATCAATATTAAAATTTTATAAATTTGGTAAAATTTAGTAAAGTGTTTCTTATGTACGAATGTTCTCTTCAGTTCTATCCTATTGATTTATACTAAGGCTGCATTTATCGTTAGGTGATAAAGGTATTACTATTCTTTCTATATCAGATTAAGAAGACAAGATAATAAGCAAACTATATTACCCTTCTTAACTTTTTATGAGTTACAAAACCTAGATTTGATAATATTTCTTATTTTTTTAAAAGAGGACTTTATAATCAGAGTTATATTATAATTATATTAAGTAAATTTATTCTTTTTATACTATTATGAAATAATTATTAAAATTGACACTAATCATATTTATTGCTTCTTGTATACCATAATTTATTACAGGAAATTATTATTAAAAGCTCAAACCATTATAGATTATTATATCTGTTGGGCACACAGAATATATGAAATTAGAGTCAAAAGTTATTATTGCTTGCTTCAAGCATGGATTTAATAAAGAACTTATAAAATTCAAATTCCAATCGTAAATATTTGTTATACCTTTATTTAAGACAGCATATAGAATTTTTCTAAAAGGATCATTTACAATATTTGTAATTGTAGTTTTTTGAAGTAATAATTGTTAAAATAAATTTGTACTCACATTTAAAATTTAGATAATAGTGTTTTAAGAATCTGATGAAATGATACACACTAAAGAAGTACTTTAGTTAGATTCAATATAATCATTAGTATTATATCTGTCTTCATATTCAAAAGGGATTTTCCACCAATTACTTTAATAATTCTTTATATCTTTAGATTAAAGCTTAAACATGAACTAAAATACACTGGTATTTTAAATATTAATATCATTTATTTTTTTTGTTAAAATATTGAAGGTATAAATTATATTGACAGAAGGAAGAACTATAAAATCACCAATTATTAAAGCTTAAGAGAAGTCACTCTATGGAAGACTAGAAAAATTAACTTCATTAATTTGGTCAACTTGTAGGTTTAATTAATTTAATTATAAATTTTGCTAGTATAAAATGAGAATTTACAACCTAGGTTTATCATAAAAATAGTTGTCTGGATTTTAAGATAATTGTATCTTTTAAATTAATTACAGTTTTTCATTTAATAAATCTACTTCGATTAAATAAAGGTTATCAAACAGTATATAAATAATTTATTTTGTGCTTATTTGTATTAACTCAGTAAAGTATGGATGAATATTGTACTAATCTTGTTGTAATATTAAATAATCTACTAACACTGCTTATTTAAACAAGTTAATAGAATAATTTGCTAAACTATAATAAACTTAATATTAATCGTTGAATACTATGTTTTATACGTTTTAGTATTATGCTAAATTAGTTTCAGAAGAATAGAGAACTTCAGCCAAATCAAAAGAAATCAGTGCAGTTAAAGTCAGTACATTTAATAAATTAAATTAAGTGTTTAGATATATATTCTATATAGGAGTTTATTCTTATTATTGCAGGGAAAAACTTTCAATAAATTACATTTGAGGATATTAATACATGTGAATAAACTTATCTGAGTATAAAAAAATGATTTTTTTATTCTCATCCATTATGATTCCTTTTGTTTGATATACATAAATTTAAAAAAGAGTCACTTCGTTTGTTAAACAATTGCATAAATAAATTATTGGAGTATTATCAATAACAATTAAGCTTTTATATTTTTAAAAATAGTATGCTGAGTGATTATCAAATTAGCTAGTAGTTTTATATAAAAAAAAGGTACTATTAGTAAAAACTTTGATAATAAAGATCTGTTTTTTTGATCCTGTGAGGAGAATGTAAATGTCTTTATCTAAATCATAGATAGATTATGTCAATTGATATTAACAAATATCCTTGTAGTTTATGAGTTAGTCATCATCTTTTTTAATTACATGTAATTAATTTTCCAAGGTATACAAAGCAAAAATTTTATTTATCACATTTATTATTGGATTAGAACATAAATCCACACCGTAATAATTAGATAATAACTATTTAATAAATAATTAAGTTAAAAATTTAATATATTATATTTTAATAGGTATATTATATTTGCTTATTTTTAAATTCTATTAAGAAATTTGAAATTATTGAATTTATGAAAAAATATTTACTTAATTTGTTAACAGTTCTCCGCTTGTATAATCAAAGATTTAAAAACAAGGTTTGCTCAAAATTATTAATTTTTCATTACAATCTAAATCAAATATAACCTAACTCATATCTAAAAAAGACAAACATTATAATGAATTCAAGTTTATTTAAATTTAGCTATTATCTAACATCTATGAATAAAATAAATAAAAGTTAATTAATAAATAGAGTTGTATAAAAATCTTACGTTTATAGAGTAGATGATATTTTAACTGGTTTATGTAACTATAATATTTTGCTACTAACATACTCTATACTAAATTATCTTAGAATCTAAAGTACATATTTGTTTATTTTGTGTATTTGAAAAAGTAGAAAATAAATACAGTGAATTATTTGTTACATAAATAAATTGTAGAGAAATCCAATCTAAAATGTAAACGTTAATGTCTGACTCAAGCAAGAAATTCATACTGATAACTTTAAAAACATCTGTAGAATTGTAAATAGTAATTTAATTGGTGCTCTTATCATGAATTGCAATCCAGTTTTAACCATTATCAAATTATTATGCGAGAAATATCTGGCTCTAAGGATTTAAATTTAAAATACGGTAAGGATTATTAAACAAATTTGTATGCCAATAGAAGTCATTTTATGATTAGAAGAAGTGAATTTAAGAATCACCATATTTTTCTTACCCAATAAATATATTATCTTCTTATTATGTTTTAATTATTATCATATTTTAACTATCTATGATATTTTCTGATTTCTTGTAGTATTGTGTATCATCTAAATGATAATAATTTATTATTTAATCAACTGGTTACATGCTTATAGATGTACTTGTTGTTGTTAAATTAAATAATTGTTTTGTAAGGAGATCAAATTTATAAAAAAAGTCAAATTCACAAAAGTATATTTATTTATCATCAGAGAAAAAATTTGTTATGAAGAATCCAGATAGAATTTTACCAAGATATTATAGGTCAAATGTGTAAGCTGAAATATTATTAAATCCAATAACAAATATCTCTTTAGTTATTTATGAAGTCAAATAGAAGCTTTAGTAAAATTTACCTACTAGATTAGCTAACTAGTATTCAAGTGTTCTCTTGCTTATTGAAAATGGCTAAAATAAATAATCATATGTCTGTAAATAAATAAGATCTCCGTCAAAAATTGCTGGCAGTTTTTTATCGTTATCAATAAACATAAAATCTATAAAATTTTAAGAAGGAGAAAAGCTAAAAATCTAATTTAAACTAGCTGAAACTAAATCAAACTAATAAAGTGATTAATCCTAATAGCTGAGAATCACTAAAAAACTATCATTTACTACAATAAAATTGCCCTATATGTTGGTCAAATTAGCAAATATTCTTTAGTTAGCTAAATCTACTAATAAGAGTATATCTTAAATTATCAAAATTTTTTTGGATTAGATGTAACATGCATTAGACCTGAAAGAAAAGCTACTTATATTATAATTTAAAATAACCTTTTTATTTGAAATATCAGTAATATACTCTTATAAAGCTCCAGCAGACGAAAATGATGTTATTAAATACTAATTATCGAATACACGATTAATTATTTATTGATTGCCTTATACTTAAAGAGATTATTAAATTGTTGTTAAAATTCTTGGATTTTTTTAGAGATAATTTAGTTAATAGATTATATTTTATTTACTTATAAGAATCTACTAAAGGAAATAATTATCATTTATAGTGTAAAATTAGGGTTTTTAAGTTGATTAATTTACATTCAAAATTAATTAATTCATAGACATAATCTTATATGAAAACTATACTTAGCTCATTATTTGTTTGTAAAACTAAATATTTTAGCTTAAAGATTAATATGGATTAAGAAATTCAAATACCAAATCATTTTTAATTAAATTGTATTTAATTCGTATGCAATTATTGTAAAGTCCAAAGTTTTAAGCATATTTAATGTATTTGCTTATTATAATCTATATTTCATCTTACTATAGCATAAATCCAATTACTTAGTATTGTAAGAATTTCTTGTTTATTTATTAAAAATTTACTTTGATTTTTGTTTAAGTTTTTTAGTATTAATAGAAAGTGTCAGTTAAATTTGCAAAAACATAAGAATTCTAATTTTCAAGTAAAATAAAATAGCTGTTTAAAATTTAATTATTACTTGCTGTCATTAAAAAAAAATTATCAGTAGAGATTTCTTAATTTATTAAAACTCCATCGTAAGTGTCATTAAATTATATTAATAGTAAATATTGTTTATTTTAATCATATTACACTATCAAATTAAGAGATTAATATGAAAATATGAAGTTAGGAAAATATTCTATCTATAAAACGAGAATCTAGTCAATGAGTTCTCCATCTTCCTGAAATGTTAATTTGTAGAACAAATTTGAATTACTAAAATATACTGATGTTGAAGATATAATATAATTATATTTTTGCAACAATATATTATCAGGAATATCACTGAAACATTTTTTTGACTGTATAAGTGATATAGAAAAGTCCTATTGAAATGTCCCTATCTAATATGAATTAAAAAATAATTAAATTTAATTTATTAATAAGTATATTAAATAATTACAAATAACATATTAACATCTTTAGACTGAATATAATATCTCTTTAATATTTTTAATAGAATAAAATGGTTGATTGATAGTTAGATAGAATTTATTTTTTTCCTTTCTATGTCATACCAAATTAAAGCAGACGCTTAACTATCTGTCATGAAAACGAGCTTATAAAAATCATCTACATATTTAATTTTATGCTATTATTCTAAATTTTTTTCATCGAATTCTACTTGCAGAGTCTCAAAATTCATAACATTAAACCTTTATCCCTGAAGATATCCGCCATAAACTCCTGATAAAAAATACTATATTTAGGTCTCATCTTATCTATTAAAGAATCCAAATGTGTTTATTTCTTGTAAAGTTTATTTAGTTATTATATTCCAGTTTTTATCCACAACAGCGAAGCTACAAGCCGCCACACTTACAGCAATGTATTGATTCTCTTTAAAGATTGCAATATCATTCACAAAAGTATTCATAACAGAGCTAGATAATTACTGAATTTATGGGCATTACTAAGTAAATTCACAAATTTAGCTACTGTAATTCTATTAATAAGATTATTGACAGGTATTCGTACATTTTCTACTTTCGAAAGGTGGATTAAGAAATTATAAATCAGATTCGCAAATCCCTTTTTTAGCATTGCACTAATTTTTATTTTTATCAAGCACTAAATTCTCATCGCAGACCAGACAAATTTATTATGATGTGCACTAAATGCATCCATAGACCTTGCATTTAATGCATCTATTGCCTTCGCTATCAATAACTTCATTTTTTTGACATTAATTTTAACAAGTAGAAACATCATCATAACTCATGTAAGAGTTTTTTACGCAGCCAATGCATGATTATTGGCTTAAATTAAAGCAATTTTCACAATCTAGTGAACAACTAAGACAAGCTTTTTATAGAGCATCAAATATTTAAGATTTTTGACATGTTTGAGCTAAGCAATATTATATGAATATTAAATTCATTATAATTTTTTTTCCTTTATGTGATATCATAATTTACATCCTTTATTAGTTAAACAAATTTGATAAATGCATTCAAAAATTATTTACAATTATTATTCTTTCTTATCAAGTAATTCTTATATATCTTAAGCAAAACAAAAATAATATTTGTGGCCATCTCTTAATTTAAAAATTAAATGATTGAAAAAGTATAAAATTCCTACTATATATAAAACAAAATTATGGTTTTTGTTATTTCTACTTTAAAAATATTAATATTTTATTTAAAATTAATAATAATTTTTTGGTTCAAGTAAATGTATTTTCTAGCTTATAAAACAAAAAAATGAAAAGAATGTAAAGCATAGCATTAATAATTTAGAAATTTCTTAGAAAATAATCTTTCCAAAATATTTCATTCAATTTATTAATCTGATATTTTTAACAAAATAAAAATTAGATTGAAAACTATAAAAGAACTTATATTAAAAAATATGAGATTCAAAATACCATACATTAATTTATATTATTTACCTTAATTTTAATAATAAATATTTTAAATAAATTTACTGTAAAATCTCCCTAATTAAGTGAAAGTAATAATTACTTAGAAAAATTCTTAAAAAATGAGTTAATGAAAATAGGCAAAAACTTAATAAAATTTAAAAGATTGTATTCACAATATTTAAATACAATATATAATATAAAAATTAATTAAATCAATATAATTTTAAGACTTGTAGCTAAACTAATTTTTTTTAGATTTTTAAAAACATTTATATTCATTTAAAATAACATATTCTGGTATTGAAATATCCAACAGTGAGAATTCAATACCAGGAACAGTTATATAAAGGTAGATAATTAGAAAATTTATGTAATATTTAATTAAAAAACAGAAATAAATACATCAAAAATTTAAAGATTTCTATTTATCTATCTTGTTTTCAAATTCTAAAGTATTTAACAGTATATTTAAATTTTCTTGATTTTGAGCATAGTTTTAAGGTGTTATTAAATCTATATTACTAGCTGTTTATTCTTTTGATTAGAATAAAAATAAATAAATAATTTGAAAAAAAGAAAATAAAATTACATTATAAATTATTGAAAGTTCTCCTCATTTATTGAGATTTGTAGCTTATTTATTTTAAATAATTTAAATTATTGTCTATCTCTGATTTACTGCTAGAAGTCAAAAAATTCAAATTAGAATTTCTCATCCTTTCTAGCTCTTTTCTCTCTGAAGGGATAGCTATAAATTAGCTTTCTAGATTAAACTACACCAACAATTACTCTTCATTGTAAAAATTATAGTTTTTTAAGAATTTGAGAAGAATTTTAAATTTCATTTGAACTGATTTTAATTTAATCAAGGATCTTATTTTTTAGTTGCTAATTATCTAAACATTAGTGAATTTATTAGGGTATTTTAATTTTAATTTAAAGAGTAAATTCTAAACTAAATTATTATCAGTCTTGTTTGCTTTTATTTATATATTTACCATTCCAAATATCAATTGTAAGAAGAGCTATAAGTTTGGTAGTACAATAATTAAAACAGTGATGACTTAAAAAACTGTTTATTGGATTTATTAAGAAGATATCTACTATATGTAAAGCAAATTCAAAGCTAATATGCAGAGTAAATTAGAAAAATGCTGTAAATCATTATAATTTTATAAAGTGTAAGGCTTTGATTTTCCAACTAAAAAGATATTAAGAGACATTATAATATTCATTAATAAAACCTTTATTCAAAAATAGATTAAGTTTTTTTTAAAATTGAAATGAATTTTTACTTAAATCAAATTGTTTTCTTTGAGCAAAATAAAAATTATGATTAGTGATGCTTTGTAGATGATCTTATAGAACTCCCAATAGTACATTTTATCTCTTAATCCTGCAAAAATATATGAATATTATACTTTAATAAAAAAAGATTTCTTTCCTTTTCTTACAAGATACACACTAACAAATAAAATAATAGGTATAATAATTCCATAGATGATCAACAGAGGTAAGCAAAATATAAATATATATGGTAAATGATATTTTGGATCATAGCATTAGATATTATAGTCCAAATCCATATACTTTTAATCTCCTATCTAAACACAGTTCATTGACTTACTTAGCATAGTAATAATTGAAACAAAATAATAAAAGTAAATAAAAATTAAAGCAGCTCTGGCATGCCTTATAAATAAATTTTATTTGAACTTTAAAGAAATATAGCCTATTATAAAATATAAAATGATTATTAAAATAGGTTGCAATAAAGACCAAAGCAATTAATAGAACCACAAAGGTTGTAAACTAGGGTCCTTTGCATAAAGGCAGTCTATAGATTTACTGATAGCTCCTAATGGATTACCTGATATTTAAACAGGCACTGTAATAGCCATAAAATTGTTAAATAAGCTATAAACCAAAGAAATAATTTGCAAATGATCATTTAGAATCTTTGAAAATATTTTTTGTCTATCTGATTTATCTAAAATATAATTTTAAATTAATTTAAGTTTATTTAAAAAAATACTTGATTACATGTGTTGCTTAAAAAAAGAATCCCTGACTTTTTAACATAATGACCTAAAAGTTTAACATATAATTGTTTTTATAGGCTTCTAACCATAAAAAAAATATAAGCCATGACTACAAAGAACTTTAGTAAATTATTGAAAAAAATTAGCATAATATTATCTGAGCATTTGTAGCATTATTTTGATGTGATATATTCTGCATAAGAATCATCCCAAATTTTACCATAAATATCACAAGATCCACATATTATACCTATATATCCTCTTTTACAATTGAACTTTTTATTTTAAAATTAAATTTTTATAAATTAATGAAATTTTAAAATTAATAAATTAATATTTATTTCTAATAATAGTGATTTAAATCAAATAAGGTATTTTTATTTTATTTAAATCATTGAAAAGTCTCTCTTTTTAATTGTGCTATATTTTATCTGAAATAAATTCTTATTTTCCCTATGACACCACGTAGGGTACAAGGAGCGCATCTTAATAGCGGATACAAAAATAGATATCACAAATTATTTTAAATTTGAAAAAAAATTAATTTATAATCTTACTTTTGATTAATTGCTTTCAGGTTAACAGACGTCAGGATTGTCTTTACAATAAATAATCTCATCAGTAAATTCATTACTTCTCCAGTAACCGTTTTTCAATTAAATTTTTGAACCTTAGCAATATTCAGCAGAGTCTGGACATTTTTTGCACTCACCATCAAGAATATCTAATGAGTATTTTCCCTCTGGACAAGACTCACAAATAATAGAATTACTAAATTATTTTTGAATATACCCTATTTTACATTGATCGAAATTAAGTATAACTTAAAGATCTAACTAACCTTAATTAAATTAGATATTATTATTAGAATCAACTAATTGTGGAAACACATTTGATCTTATTTTCATAATCATTGTACTTTGTGGCTTATACATAGGCTTTACTGTTAAATAAAAACCTCCATTTTAATAATTGCTTGATTTTAAATTTCCTACACATTGCATTTATATATTTAATTAATCACATGTAATTTCTAAATTAATCTATCTAATTATTAGTAGGATATCATCACTCAAGCTAATTTGGTTTTAAGTTGATGGAATATAAACAGGAGTTCCTTCTTCATCAAGAATCTGTATTTTTTCAAAAATTATTTAATCACCGCTTTAAATTCCTTCTACTTCAAGTTAGTTATTTTTGGAATTTATAATATGTGAACTTTAAATAGAAATATCTTTTTGAGAAATAAAAATTTTTCTTAAAGTTGAACCCAAATTTTTACCATAGATTTTCGCATAATTATTTTAAATAGTATTATTTTACTTAATACCTTTCTATAATAATAATACAAAGTCAGGAACTATTGATTGATAATATATTCCACCTCCAATTTGAGCTTTATTAGATTCTATTTGGGAATTCTTTAATATTAAATTAACTTTGGATAGGTTTATAGCTCCTCCAGTAGATAAAATGGCTTAATTTAGGACAAAAGCAGAAAAGTTAATATCCAAAGTACCCAAATATTATGCATTTATAAAATTGATTGCTCCTCCATTTTTTTAAAGACATTAGTTAGAAATAAAATGTGAGTATTATATATCAACCTTTTATGTCTCTGTTAGTTATAAAACACCTCCATATCCATCTGAGTTTATATTATCTTAAAATATACATTCAGTTAATGTAATATTGTAGCATTAATTAACTTGTATAAATGATGAAAATGTGTTTTAATTTAATTTGTTAAGCTTAAGAGTTAAATTATCTAATATAACTTAATCTAAATTATTTAATAAAATTAAAGGAGCTTCCAAATTAATTTTATTATTAATAAAAGAAGATTTAAGCAGCTTTGCCTCCCGTTAGTACAGTAACTAGCTATTTTAAAGTTGCTATTCATTTACTTATAAGAATGATATAAAGTTATCAAAAAATTAAGAATTTTAAATATTGAAACTTGTAATGTTAATAAAATTTATTGCAAATTGATGCTTGTTATTGTTTGATAAAGGTTATATATTATCCATAAATATTTCATTTATCTATAATACTTGAGCAGCCATATCAATAATATTAAAATCTGTAAACACAGAGCTGACAGTAAAATTTTTAACTTAAATCGAATCAACTTGTAAAAATATTTAAGTTTAGTTAGAATTAATTATAGTTATGTCTTTTATCAATAAAGTCTAGCAAATAAATGATACTGGATTAATTTCTAAGTTTTACAAGCTTATCAAATTAAGTGAGTTACTATTTTTAACTTAAATTTCTTAAAAACTTGTATAAGATGAAAATAATGCATTAAAAATTGTAGAAAACTGTAAATTAACGATTTAAATATTTGTAATATTAGTGTTTTAGATTTATTAGAAATTAAAGAGTTAAATATCCTATGATTAAGTAATATTAACATCAGACACTTCCAGATAATAAGAATTATTTAAGTAAAATATTCGCAAGTTAGAAGAACTATACACATTAATACTATTGATAGTTATATTTGTATTATTAACCGCGCTAAAAATACTTTGAAGATTTTGGTTTAATTTCATAGATTATTTGATATTAATGTTAGAAAGATAAACATTCTTAATTTGAATTATTGTGTTATTAATCAGATTGAATAAAGTATTTTAAAGTGTACTTAAGTTGCTTATATTAAGTTTTTCTATAACAACTTATTTGCAATTTTAGATAATTAATTGCCCAAAACTTTAGCTTTCTTGTTCAAATAAATTTATGCTAGTAAAATAAACTTTTTCAAAATTTTACAAAATCAGTGAATTTTAAATATTTAAAGTAATATCTGACATTTAAAATACTTTCATGAAATTATTTTAATTTAAATTTATCAAACCTAAGCTTAAGGACATTTATTTAATCTAAAAATTTACAATTTGTTTTGCATAAGGAATGTTGTCTTACCAACATATATTACTATTTTAAGAAGTTGACTAATTAATCAAAGATAATTATTAACTAACCTAAATTTCGTTAAATAATTATTGAGATAATGATCTAATACATTATTAATCAAGATATACTATCTCTATCAATTGAAGAGTTGTATCAATATTAAAATTTTATAAATTTGGTAAAATTTAGTAAAGTGTTTCTTATGTACGAATGTTCTCTTCAGCTCGATTTTATTGCTCTATACTAAGACTACATTTATCGTTAGGAGACAATGGAATTACTATTCTTTCTATATCAGAATATGAAGACAAGATAATAAGCAAACTATATTACCCTTCTTAGCTTTTTATGAGTTACAAAACCTAGATTTGATAATATTTCTTATTTTTTTAAAAGAGAACTTTATAATCAGAGTTATATTACAATTATATTAAGTAAATTTATTCTTTTTATACTACTATGAAATAATTATTAAAATTGACACTAACCATATTTATTGCTTCTTGTATACCATAATTTATAACAGGAAATTATTATTAAAAGCTCAAACCATTATAGATTATTATATCTGTTGGGCACACAGAATATATGAAATTAATGTCAAAAGTTATTATTGCTTGCTTCAAGCATGGATTTAACAAAGAACTTATAAAATTCAAATTCCAATCATAAATATTTGTGACACCTTTATTTAAGACAGAATATATTATTTTTCTAAAAGGATCATTCACAATATTTGTTATAGTAGTTTTTTGAAGTAATAATTGTTAAAATAAATTTGTACTCACATTTAAAATTTAGATAATAGTGTTTTAAGAATCTGATGAAATGATACACACTAAAGAAGTAATTTAGTTAGATTCAATATAATCATTAGTATTATATCTGTCTTCATATTCAAAAGGGATCTTCCACCAATTATTTTGATAATTCTTTATATCTTTCGATTAAAGCTTAAATATGAACTAAAATACACTAGTATTTTAAAGATTAATTTTATTTATTTTTTTTGTTAAAATATTGAAGGTATTAATTATATTTGTAGAAGGAAGAACTATAAAATCACCAATTATTAAGGCTTAAGAGAAGTCACTCTATGGAAGATTAGCAAAATTAACTTCATTAATTTGGTCAGCTAAAAGGTTTAATTAGTTTAATTATAAATTTTGCTAGTAAAGAAGGAGAATTTGCTACCTAGGTTTATCATAAAAATAGTTATCTGGATTTTAAGATAATTGTATCTTTTAAATTAAATACAGTTTTTCATTTAATAAATCTACTTCGATTAAATGAAGGTTATCAAACAGTATATAAATAATTTATTTTGTGCTTATTTGTATTAATTCAGTAAAATAGGGATGAATATTGTATTAATCTTGCAATAACATTAAATAATCTACTAGCACTGCTTATTTAAACAAGTTAATAGAATAATTTGCTAAACTATAATAAACTTAATATTAATCGTTGAATACTATGTTTTATATGTTTTGGTACTAAGCTAAATTAGTTTCAGAAGCATAGAGAACTTCAGCCAAATCAAAAGAAATCAGTGCAGTTTAAGTAAGTACATTTAATAAATTAAATTAAGTGTTTAGATATATATTCTATATAGGAGTTTATTCTTATTATTGCAGGGAAAAACTTTCAATAAATTACATTTGAGGATATTAATACATGTGAATAAACTTATCTGAGTATACAAAAATGATATTTTTTTTCTCATCCATTATGATTCCTTTTGTTTGATATACTTAATTTTAAAAAAGAGTCACTTTGTTTGTTAAGCAATTGCATAAATAAATTATTGGAGTATTATCAATAACAATTAAGTTTTGATTTTTTTTAAAATAGTATGCTGAGTAATTGTCAAATTTGCTAGTAGTTTTATATAAAAAGAAGGTGTTATTAGTAAAAGCATTAATAATAATTATCTATTTTTTTGATCCATTAAGTATAATATAAATGTCTTTATCTAAGTCATAGTAAGCCTATGTTAATTCGTATTAGCAAGTATCTTAGTAATTTATTGGTTAGTTCTATTCTTTTTTAATTATATGTATTTAATTTTCCAAATTATAAATAGCAAACAATTAATCTTTCACTTTAACTATTGGATTACAACATAATTCCACACCATAATATTGAAGTAAAAACTATTAATATAATTAAAATTAAAATATAACTATTAAAATGAAAAATATTTAACTTGATTAATGATTATATTGTTGTTTTTAAAAGATTTTATGAAATTTCTAATATTTTAATTTATGAAAAAATACTTACTTAATCTTTTAATAGTTATCCGCTTGTAGAGTCAAAGACTTAGAAGCAAGGTTTGCTCAAAATTATTAATTTTTCATCACAATCTAATTCAAATAATACATCACTCATATCTAAAAAAGACAGACATTATAATGAATTCAAATTTATTTAAATTTAACTTAAATCTAATATCTATTAATAAATAAATTAAAGTTTATTAAGAATTAGAATTTGATTAAAAATTTTACGTTTATAGAGTAAATGATATTTTAGCTGGTTAATGTAACTATAATATTTTACTACTAGCATACTCTATACTTCATTATTTTAGAATCTAAAATGCATATTTGCTTATCTTAAGTGTTTGAAAAAGCAGAAAATAAATACAGTGAATTATTTTTTACATAAATGAATTGTAGAGAAATCCAATTTAAAACATAAACACTAAGGTCTGGCAAAAGTAAGAAATTTATATTTATAACTATGTAAATATCTGTAGAATTATAAACAGTAATTTAGTTAAAGCTCTTATCATAAATCGCAATCCAATTTTAATCATTATGAAATTATTAAGCAAGAAATATCTAACTCTATGGATTTAAATTTAAAATATGGTAAGGATTATTAAACAAATTTGTATGCCAATAGAAGTCGTTTTATGATTAGAAGAAGTGAACTTAAGAATCACCCAATTAAGTTTACCCAATATATATATTATCTTCTTATTTAGTTTTAATTATTATCATATTTTAACTATCTATGATATTTTCTGATTTCTTATAGTATTGTGTATCATCTAAACGATAATAATTAATTATTTAATCAATTGGTTACGTGTTTTAAGATGTACTTGTTGTTGTTAAATTTAGTAATTGTTTTGTAAGGAGATCAAGTTTATAAAAATAGTCAAATTCACTAAAGTACATTTATTTATCGTCGTAGAAAAAATTTGTTATGAAGAATCCAGATAGAATTTTACCAAGATATTATAGGTCAAATGTGTAAGCTGAAATATTATTAAATCCAATAACAAATATCTCTTTAGTGATTTATGAAGTCAAGAAAAAGCTTGTATAAAAATTTCCTAGATTAACTAATTAGTATTCAAGTGTTCTCTTGCTTATTGAAAATGGTTAAAATGAAAAATCAATTGTCTGTAAATAAATAAGATCTCCATCAAAAATTACAGGCAGTCTTTTATCTTTGTCAATAAGCATAAAATCTGCAAAATGTTAAGAAGGAGAAAAACTAAAAATCTAATTTAAATTAGCTGAAACTAAATCTAATTAATAAAGTGACTAATCCTGAAAGTTGAGAATCACTAAAAAACTATCCTGTACAACAATGAAACTACCCTAGATGTTTGTTAAATTAGCAAATATTCTTTAGTTAGCTAAGTCTACTAATAAGAATATTTCTTATATTATTAAAAGTTTTTTGGATTAAATGTAACATACATTAGACCTTTCAAAGTAGCTATTTAAATTATAATTCAAAATAAGCTTTTGATTTGAAATATCAACAATGTATTCTTATAAAACTCCAAATTCAACTGAAAATGATGTTATTAAATATTAATTATCAATTATACGATTAATTATTTGTTGTAGGCCTTATATTTAAAAAGATTGTTAAATAGTTGTTAAAATTCTTGGGTTTTTTTAGAGATTATTAAGTTAATAAATTATATTTTGCTTGCTTATAAGAACCTACTAAAGAAAATAGCTATTATTTATAGAAAAAAATGAGGGCTTTTAACTTGCTTAATTTATATTTAGGATTAGTTAATTCTGAGATATAATCTTGAATTGGTACTAAACTGAATTCATTATTTATTTGTAAAGCTCAATATTTTAGCTTAAAAATTAATACGGATTAAGAAATTCGAATTAGAAATCGTCATTAATTAAATTGTATTTAATTCTTATGCAATTATTGTAAATTCCAAACTATTAAGGATCTAAAATGTATTGGCTTAATATTATCTATACTTCATCTTACGATGTCATAAAACCAATTATTTAATATTTTAGGAATTTCTTGTTTATTTGTTTAAAATCGATGCTAATTTTTGTTTGTGTATTTTAGTACTAATGGAATGTGTCAGTTAAATTTGCAAATACATAAGAATTCTAGTTTTCTAGTAAAATAAAAAAGCTGTTTAAAATATTATTATTGCTTGCTGTCATAAAAAAAAAATTATCAGTAGAGATTACCTAATTTATCAAAACTCCATCATAATTGTCATTAAATTATATTAAGATTAAATTTTGGCTTGTCTAATCATATTATACTACCAAATTAAGAGATTAGCAAGAAAATATGTAATTAGAAAAATAGTCTATTTATAAAATTAGTGTCTAGTCTTTAAGTTCTCCATCTTATTGAAATGTTAATTTATAGAACATATTAGAATTGCTAACATATAGAAGTGTGGAAGATATAATATAGTTTTATTTTTACAACAGTATTTTATCAGGAATTACACTAAAACATTATTTTGACAATTTAAGTGATATAGAAAAGTCTTATTAAAGTGTTCCTACCTAATATGAATAAAAAAAATCATTAAATTGAATAAGTTTATGAACAAATTAAATAATTACAAATAGTTAATTAACATCTCTAGACTGAATATAATATCTATTTAATACTTTTAATAAAGTATAATAGCTGATCTATAGTTAAATACTATTAATTTTTTTGTTTAATATGTCATACCATATTAAAGAGGATGCTTAACTATTTGCCATGAAAACGAGTTTATAATCATCATCTACATAAAAAATTGTAAGCTATTATTCCAAATTCTATTCATCAAATTCTATTTGTAGAGTCTCGAAATTCATAACATTAAACCTTTATCCCTGAAGGTATCCACCATAAACTCCTGATAAAAAATACTATATTTAGGTCTCATCTTATCTTCGAAAGAATCCAAACGTGTTTATCTCTTGTAAAGTTTATTTAGTTATTATATTCCAGTTTTGATCCACAATAGCGAAGCTGCAAGATCCGCCACTTATAATTATGTATTGATTATCTTTAATTATTCCAATATCATTTACAAATGTTTACATAACAGAACTAGACAATTACTGAATTTATGGACATTGCTAAGTTTATTCACAAATTTAGTTACTATAATTCTAAAAATAAGATGATAGACAGGTATTCGTGCATTTTCTACTTTCGAAAGGTGGGTTAAGAAATTATAAATCAGATTCGCAAATCCCTTTTTTAGTATTACACTGATTATTATTTTTATCAAGCACTAAATTCTCATCACACAACAGACAAATTTATTAAGAGGTACATTAAACGCATCCATTGACCTTACATTTAATGCATTTTTTGCCTTCGCTGTCAATAACTTCATTTTTTTAACATTAATTTTTACAAGTAGATATATCATCATAAGTCATGTATGAATTTTTTAAGCAACTAATGCATGATTACTGGCTTAAATTAAAGCAATTTTCGCATACTGATGAACAACTAAGGCAAGCTTGTGATAGAGCGTCAAATATTTAAGACTTTTAACATGTTTGACCAAAGCAATATTATATGAATATAAGATTCATTATAAATTTTTTTACAAAATGTGATCTCATAATTAAATTAATTTGATAAGTAAATTCAAAATTCTTTTGCGATTAATTATTCTTGCTAATTAAAAAGTGAATAACTTAAACAAAATCAAAATAATCATTGTGGTGATCTCATAATATTAAAAAATAAATTTGAACTCTTATGATTTAAAAAGAAAAAAAAATCCTTCTATTTTAAAACTAAATAAAAAAGTTTTGTATTATTTCAACTGAATAGGGAATTAATACTTCCTTTAAAATAAATAATTAAAGCAAATAATTTTTTAGTTTATTGCTAATAAAAAAGAAGAAAGATCATAAAGCTCAACCTTAGTAATTTAGAAATTTCTTTTAAAAAGATTTGTTCCAAAATATTTCATTCAATATATTAATCTGAAATTTGTAACAAATATTTTAAATTTACATGAAAATTAAATAATAATTTTTATTAATAATTATGAGAATTAAAGAACATGTTTAAATAGATTATTTATCCTGTTTTTATTAAACCTTTTAAATAAATTTACCTTAAAACCTCACTTGAAATGTGCAAAGTAAACACATTACTTTTATTTTCTTTAATAATGAGAAAACCTCGACAATTACAATATAAAAATAAATAATAATTTTATTAAATATATTATTATGTAAAAAGAGAATAATTAATTTACATATAATGATAAGCTTTTTTTTTTGGTGATTTCTAAATAAAATTTGTTTTGTATATAATTAAATTTGTTACTGTAAAACCTTTAGCCTCCTTCTTCCAAGTTCACAAAAAAAGAGAAGCTATGAGAAAAATGTAAACTAAAGAAATAAATTTCAATTACATAAAAAATTTTTTCTCATAAATAGGAAAAATTATGTTTTTTATTTTAAAATGTACAACTAAAATATAATAAAATTTAGTAGTATTTAATTATGTCTAAAATATACATATTTTAAAAAATATAATGATATATAATTAAAAAATATAAATGAATATCAAAATAATTAATATTTAATTCACAATTTATACATCAATAATTTAAAGATTTATATTTATCTAATTTGCTTTCAAACTCTAAAGTTTTTTAAAGTATATTTTAATTTTCTTGATTTTAAGCATAGCTTTAAGGTGTTATTAAATCTATATTGCTAAACATTTATTCTTTTGATTAGGATATAATTAATTAAATAATTTGAAAAAAAAGAAAATAAATTTACATTATGGATTATTATTAGTTTTCCCTACTTATTCAGATTAGCAGCTTATTTATTTTAAATAATTTAAATTATTGTTCACCTCTTCTTATTTTATGCTAGATGTCAAAAAATTCAAATTAGAATTTCTCAATTTTTCTAACTCTTTTCTCTCTGATGGGATATTTATAAATTAACTTTCTAGATTAAACTACACCAATAGTTACTCTTCATTGTAAAAATTGTAGTTTTTTAAAAATTTGAGAAGAATTCTAAATTTCCTTTAAACTTCTTTCAACTTAAGTAAAGATCTTATTTTTTAGTTGCTAATTATTTAAACATTAGTGAATTTTTTAGGGTATTTTTATTTTAATTTCAAGAGTAAATTCTAAACTAAATTATTATCAGCTTTATTTGCATTTACTTATATATTTATCATTCCAAATATCAATTGTAAGAAGAGATATATGTTTGGCAATATAATAATTAAAACAGTGATTATTAAAAAAACTGTTTATTGAATTTATTAAGATGATATCTGCTAAATATAAAAGAAATTCAGAGCCAATATGCAAATCAAATTAGAAAAATGCTGTAAATCATTGTAATTTTATTAAATATAGGGCTTTGCTTTTCCAACTAAAAAGATATTAAGCGACATTATAATGTTCATCAAAACCTTTATTCAAAAATAGTTTAAGCTTTTTTTAAAAGTGAAATTAAAATTTACTTAAATTAACTGATTATTTTCTTTGAGCAAAATAAAAATTATGATTAGTGATGCTTTGTAGATGATCTTATAGAACTCCCAATAGTACATTTTATCTCTAAATCCTGCAAAAATGTATGAATATTATACTTTAATAAAAAAAGATTTCTTTCCTTTTCTTACAAGATACACACTAACAAATAAAATAATAGGTATAATCATTCCATAGATGATCAATAGAGGTAAGCAAAATATAAATATATAAGGTAAATGATATTTTGGATCATAGCATTTGATATTATAGTCTAAATCCATATACTTTTAATCTCCTATCTAAACACAGTTCATAGACTTACTTAAAATAGTAATAATTGAAACAAAATAATAAAAGTAAATAAAAATTAAAGCAGCTCTGGCATGCCTTATAAATAAATTTTATTTGAACTTTAAAAAAATATAGCCTATTAAAAAATATAAGGTGATAATTAAAATAGGTTGCAATAAAGACCAAAGCAATTAATAGAACCACAAAGGTTGTAAATTAGGTTTCGTTGTATATAGGCAGTCTATAGATTTACTGATAGCACCTAATGGATTACCTGTTATTTAAACAGGTACTGAAATTGCCATAAAATTATTAAATAAGCTATAAACCAATGAAAGAATTTGCAAATGATCATTTAGAATCTTAGAAAATATTTTTTGTCTTTCTGATTTATCTAAAATATAATTTTAAATTAATTTAAATTTATTTAAAAAAATGATTAATTACATGTGTTGCTTAAAAAAAGTATCCCTGACTTTTTAACATAATGGCCTAAAAGTTTAATATACAATTACTTTTATAAGCTTCTGACCATAAAAAAAATATAAGCAATGACTACAAAGAATTTCAGGAAATTATTTAAAAAAATTAGCATAATATTATCTGAGCATTTGTAGCATTATTTTGATGTAATATATTCTGCATAAGAATCATCCCAAATTTAACCATAAATATCACAAGATCCACATATTATACCTATATATCCTCTTTCACAATTAAACTTTTTATGATAAAATTAAATTTTAATAAACAAATGATTATGAAGTATTATTTATCTTATTTATATAATTTAAAATAATTAAAAAAAGATAATTTATTCATAATTATTTTGTAATGCTAAGTGTGGGCGCGCCATAGCACCAAAAAGCAGATATTAAAAAAAAAAAAAATTATTTATGATATCCTCTAAGTTGGTTTTATATTGTATAAAGGGTTTTTTCTACCCACTTTTCAACATTATTGTAAATTAAATATGTTTTTAATTTTTATTTTTTTTCTTTTTGAAAATAAAAAAATTTTTTTTAGTTGATCAATAAATATTTTTTTCTAATAATTGTAATTTGAATCAAAAAAGGTACGTTTTGCTCTATTAAAATGATTGAAAAAGTCTCATTTTTTAATGTGTTATTTCTTATATAAAATAAATAGCCATTTAGATTAAGACGCGCAGTCTTCAAGAATCGTATTTTAATCGTGGGCTCAGAAATATTTATCACAAATTGTTTCAAATTTGAAAAAAATTAATAATCTTACCTTTGATTGATTGCTTTGAGGCTAACAAACATTAGGATTATAATTACAATAAATAATATCATCTGTAAATTCATTACTTCTCCAGTAACCGTTTTTCAACTAAATCTTTGAACCTGAACAATACACAGCAGAGTCTGGACACTTTTTGCACTCACCATCAAGAATATCTAATGAGTATTTTCCCTCTGGACAAGACTCACAAATAATAGAATTACTAAATTATTTTTGAATTTACCCTATCCTACATTAATCAAAATTAAGTAAAACTTAAAGATCTAACTAACCTTAATTAATTTAGATATTATTATTAGAATCAACTAATTGTGGAAACACATTTGATCTTATTTTCATACTCATAGTACTGAGTGGCTTATACATAGGCTATACTGTTAAATAAAAACCTCCATTTTAATAATCGCTTGATTTTAAATTTCCTACACATTGTACTTCAATATTTAATTAATCACATGTAATTTCTATATTGATCTATCTAATTATTAGTAAGACATCGTCACTTAAGCTACTTTGATTTTGAATTGATGGAATATAAACAGGAGTTCCTTCTTCATCAAGGACCTATATTTTTTAATAAGTAATTTACTCACCACTTTAAATTCCATCTACTTCAAGTGAGTATTATTTGTAATTTATATTATGTGAGCTTTAAATAGTAATATCTTTTTGAGAAATGTAAATTTTCCTTAAAGTTGATCCTAAATTTTTACCATAGATGTTGGCATAATTATTTTAAATAGTATTATTTTGCTTAATACCTTTCTATAATATTATTACAAAGTCAGGAACTATTTATTGATAATAAATTCCACCTCCTATTTGAGCTTTATTGGATTCTATTTGGGAATTCTTTAATATTAAATTAACTTTGGATAGGTTTATAGCTCCTCCAGTAGATAGCACGGCTTAATTCATAACAAAAGCAGAAAAGTTAATATCCAAAGTACCCAAATATTTTGTGTTTATAAAATTGATTGCACCTCCATTTTTTTAAAGGCATTTGTTAGAAATAAAATGTGAGTAATATATATTAGCCTTTTATGTCTCTATTAGTTATAAAGCACCTCCATATCCATCTGAGTTTATATTATCTTAAAATATACATTCAGTTAATATAATATTGTAGCATTAATTAACTTGTATAAATGATGATAATGTGTTTTAATTTAATTTATTAAGCTTAAGAGTTATATTATCTAATGTAACTTAATCTAAATTATTCAGTAAAATTAGAGAAGCTTCCAAATTAATTTTATTATTAATAAAAGATGATTTAATCAGCTTAGCCTCTCGTTAATATAGTTCCTAGTTATTTTAAAGCTACTATTCATTAACTAATAAGAAAGATATAAAGTTATCAAAAAATTAATTATTTTAAATAGTGAAGTTTGTAATGTTAATAAAATTTATTGCAAATTAATTTTTTTTATTATTTGATAAAGGTTATATATTATTCATAGACATTTTGTTTATTTATAATACTTGAGCAGTCAAATCTAAGATATTAAAATCTGTAAAAACTGTACTGACAGTTAAATTTTTAACTTAAATTGAATCAACTTGTAAAAATATTTAAGTTTAGTTAGAATTAATAATAGATACGTCTTTTAGGAATAAACTCTAACAAATAAATTAAACTTAATTAATTTCTAAGTTTTACAAGTTGATAAAACTAAGTGAATTACTATTTTTAATTTCTATTTCTTATAAACTGGTATGAGAAGAAAATAATGCATTAAAGATTGTAGAAAACTGTAATTTAACTATTTAAACATTTGTGATATTAGTGTTTTAGATTATTTAGGCATTAAAGAGTTAAATATCCTATGACTAAGTGATATTTAGATCAGAAACATCCAAATAATATGAATTGTTTAAGTAAAATATTTACAAGTTAGAACAGCTAATGACATTAATATTATTGATAGTTAAATTTGTATTATTAACCGCGCTAAAAACAGTTTGAAGGTTTTGATTTAATTTCATAGATTATTTAATATTAATGTTAGAAAGATAAACATTCTTAATTTGAATTATAGTGTTATTAATCAAATTGAATAAAGTATTTTAAAGTGTACTTAAGTTGGTTATATTAAGTTTTTCTATAACAACTAATTAGCAATTTTAGATAATTAATTGCCCAAAACTTTAGCTTTCTTGTGCAACTAAATGTATGCTAGTAAGATAAACTTTTTCAAAATTTTACAAAATCAGAGAATTTTATATGTTTAAAGTTATATCTGACATTTAAAATATTTTCATGAAATTATTTTAATTTATATTTATTAAACCCAAACTCAATGACATTTATTTTATCTAAAAATTTACAATTTATTTTGCATAAGGAATGTTATCTTACCAACAAATATTACTATTTTAAGAAGTTGACTAATTAATCAAAGATAATTATTAACTAACCTAAATTTCGTTAAATAATTATTGAGATAGTGATCTAATACATTATTGATCAACATAAACAATTTCTATCACTTGAAGAGTTGTATCAATATTAAAATTTTATAAATTTGAGAGAGTTTCGAAAAGTGTTTCTTATGTACGAATATTCTCTTCAGTTCGATTCTATTGCTCTATACTAAGATTACATTTATCGTTAGGTGATAAAGGTATTACTATTCTTTCTATATCAGACTATGACGACAAGATAATAAGCAAGCTATATTACCCTTCTTAACTTTTTATGAGTTACAAAACCTAGATTTGATAATATTTCTTATTTTTTTAAAAGAGTAGTTTATAATCAGAGTTATATTACAATTATATTAAGTAAATTTATTCTTTTTAGATTATTATGAAGTAATTATTAAAATTGATACTAATCATATTTATTGCTTCATGTATACCATAATTTATAACAGGAAATTATTATTAAAAGCTCAAACCATTATAGATTATTATATCTGTTGGGCACACAGAATATATGAAATTAGAGTCAAAAGTTATTATCGCTTGCTTTAAGCATGGATTTAACATAGAACTTATAAAATTCAAATTCCAATCGTAAATATTTGTTGTACCTTTATTTGAGACAGTATATATTATTTTCCTAAAAGGATCATTCACAGTATTTGTAATTGCAGTTTTTTGAAGTAATAATTGTTAAAATAAATTTGTATTCACATTTAAAATTAAGATAATAGTATTTTAAGAATCTGTTGAAACGATACACACTTAAGAAGTAATTGAGCTTGATTCAATATAATCATTAGTATTATATCTATCTTCATATTCAAAAGGGATCTTCCACCAATTATTTTGATAATTCTTTATATCTTTAGATTAAAGCTTAAACATGAACTAAAATACACTAGTATTTTAAAGATTAATATCATTTATTTTTTTAGTTAAAATATTGAAGGTATAAATTATATTGACAGAAGGAAGAACTATAAAATCACCAATTATTAAGGCTTAAGAGAAGTCACTCTATGGAAGACTAAAAAAATTAACTTCATTAATTTGGTCAGCTTAAAGGTTTAATTAGTTTAATTACAAATTTTGCTAGTATAAAATGAGAATTTGCTACCTAGGTTTATCATAAAAATAGTTGTCTGGATTTTAAGATAATTGTATCTTTTAAATTAATTACAATTTTTCTTTTATTAAATCTACTTCGATTAAATGAAGGTTATCAAACAGTATATAAATAATTTATTTTGTGCTTATTTGTATTAATTCAGTAAAATAGGGATGAATATTGTATTAATCTTGCAATAACATTAAATAATCTACTAGCACAGATTATTTAAACAAGTTAATAGAATAATTTGCTAAACTATAATAAACTTAATATTAATCGTTGAATACTATGTTTTATATGTTTTGGTACTAAGCTAAATTAGTTTCAGAAGAATAGAGAACTTCAGTCAAATCAAAAGAAATCAGTGCAGTTTAAGTCAATACATTTAACAAATTAAACTAAGCATTTAAGTATATATTTTAAATAGGTGTTTCTTATTGCTATTACAAGGAAAAACTTTCTATAAAAGTCATTTCAGGATATTAATACATGTGAATAAACTTATCTGAATATAAAAAAATGATGTTTTTTATCTCATCCATTATGATTCCTTTTGTTTGATATACTTAAATTTAAAAAAGAGTCACATTTTTTGTTAAAAAATCGCATAAATAAATTATTGGAGTATTATCAATAACTATAACGCTTTTTTATTTTTAAAAATAGTATCCCAAGTGATTATCAAATTGGCTAGCAGTTTTATATAAAAAGAATGTGCTATTAGCAAAAACGTCGATAATGATAATCTATTTTTTTGATCCAGTGAGGATAATGTAAATATCATTATCTATATTATAATAAGATTATGTTAATTGGTATTAACAAATATCCTTGTAACTTATTAGTTATTCTAAATCTTTTTTAATTACATTTATTGACAATTCTAAGGAATAAATAGCAAACACTTAATTTTTCACTTTTATTATTGGATTACAACATAAGTCCACACCATAATAACTAGACAATATCTATTTAATAAATAATTAAGTTCTAAATTTAGCAAATAAAATGAAATATATTTAACTATATTTTTATGGCTTTATTATATTTGTTTATTTTTAAATGCTATTAAGAAATTTAAGAAAAAATACTTACTTATTATGGATATAATTATCCGCTTGTATAATCAAAGATTTAGAAACAAGGTTTGCTCAAAATTATTAATTTTTCATTACAATCTAAATCAAATAATACCTAACTCAAATCTAAATAAGATTGACAATATAAAGAATTCAAGTTTATTTAAATTTAACTAAAATCTAACATCTATTATAAAATAAATAAAAGTTAATTAAGAATTAGAATTTGATTAAAAATTTTACGTTTATAGAGTAAATGATATTTTAGCTTGTTAATGTAACTATAATATTTTGCTACTAGCATACTCTATACTAAATTATCTTAGAATCTAAAATACATATTTGCTTAACTTAAGTATTTGAAAAAGCAGCAAATAAATACAGCGAATTATTTTTTACATAAATGAATTGTGGTTAAATCCAATTTAAAACGTAAATGCTAATGTCTGATTATAGCAAAAAATTTATATCGATAATTTTAAAAATGTCTGTTGAATTGTAAATAGTAATTTAATTAGAGCTCTTATCATAAACTGCAATCCAGTTTTAACCATCATCAAATTCTTATGCTAGAAATATCTAATTCTAAGAATTTAAATTTAAAATACGGTAAGGATTATTAAATAAATTTATATGCCAATAGAAGTCATTCTATGATTAGAAGAAGTGAATTTGAGAATCACCCTATTGAGTTTACCCAATATATATGTTATCTTCTTGTTATGTTTTAATTATTATCATATTTTAACTATCTATGATATTTTCTGATTTCTTGTAGTATTTTGTTTCATCTAAACGATAATAATTAATTATTTATTCAACTGGTTACGCGTTTATAGATGTACTTGTTGTTGTTAAATTAAATAATTGTTTTGTAAGGAGATCAAATTTATAAAAAAAATCAAATTCACAAAAGTATATTTATTTATCATCATAGAAATAATTTGTTATGAAGAATCCAGATAGAATTTTACCAAGATATTATAGGTCAAATGAGTAAGCTGAAATATTATTAAATTCAATTTTAAATATCTCTTTAGTTATTTATGAAGTCAAAAAAAAGTTTGTCTAAATCTTACCTAGATTTACTAACTAGTATTCAAGTGTTCTCTTGCTTATTGAAAATGGCTAAAATAAATAATCAGCTGTCCGTAAATAAATAAGATCTCCATCAAAAATTGCAGGGAGTCTTTTATTTTTGTCAATAAACATAAATTCTACAAAATTTTAAGTTGAAGAAAAAGTAAAAATCTAATTTAAACTAGCTGAAACTAAATCAAACTAATAAAGTGACTAATCCAGATAGTTGAGAATCACTAAAAAACTATCTTGTACAACTATAAAAGTGCCCTATATGTTAGTTAAATTAGCAAGTATTCTTTGGTTAGATAAATCTACTAATAAGAATATTTCTTGTATTATCAAAATTTTTTTGGATTAAATGTAACATACATTAGACTTTGAAATAAAGCCAATTAAATTATAGTTTAATATAAGCTTTTTATTAAAAATATCAGTAATATACTCATTGACAACTCCGAACTGAACTGAAAATGATGTTATTAAATATTAATTATCAAATACACGATTAATTATTTGTAGATTGCCCTACACTTAAAGAGATTATTAAATCGTTGTTAAAATTCTTGGGTTTTTTTAGAGGTTATTTAGTTAGTAAATTATATTTTACTTGCTAATAAGAACTTACTATTAGAAATAATTATTATTTATAGTATAAAATTAGGGTTTTTATGTTACTTAATTTACATTCAAAATTAGTTAATTTATAGATATAATATTAAATGAATACTACATTTAATCCATTACTTCTCTGTAAAGCTAAATATTTTAGTTTAAAGATTAATATGGATTAAGAATTTAGAAAAAGGAATCATTTTTAATTAAATTGTATTTAATCCGTAAACAATTATTGTAAATTCCAAAGTATTAAGCATATTGAATGTATTTTCTTATTATAATCTATATCTCATCTTACTATATCATAAAACTAATTACTTAATATTATAGGAATGTCTTGTTTATTTATTTAAAATTTACACTGATTTTTGTTTATGTATTTTAGTACTAATAGAGAGCGTCAGTTAAATTTGCAAATAGATAAGAATTCTAGTTTTCAAGTAAAATGAAATAGCTATTTAAAATTTGATTATTTGTTACTGTAATATAAAGAAGAGTATCCTGAAAGATTACCTAATTTATCAATACTCCATCATAAGTGTCATTAAATTATATTAATAGTAATTGTTGTCTATTATAATCATATTACACTACCAAATTAAAAGATTAGTATGAAAATATGTTAGTAGGAAAATATTCTATTTCTAAAATGAGGATTTAGTCTATGAGCTCTCCATCTTACTGAAATGTTAATTTGTAGAACCAATTTTAAATATCAAATGTTGAAGATATAATATAATTTTATTTTTGCAACAATATATAATCAGGAATAGGACTGAAGCATTATTTTGACTATATAAGTGATATAGAAAAGTCCTATTGAAGTGTTCCTACCTAAAAAGAATTAAAAAAATAATTAAATTGAATTTATTTATAAGTAAATTTAATAATTACAAATAGTTAATTAACTTCTTTAGACTGAATATAATATCTGCTAAATATTTTTAATTAAATACTGTATCTGCTTTATAGTTAAACACGATTAATTTTTTTATTTTATATATCATACCATATTAAAGCTTATGCTTAACTATCTATCATGAAAACAAGCTTATTAACATGATCTATATAACTAATACCATGTTATGATTCCAAATTTTATTCATCGAATTCTATTTGTAGAGTCTCAAAATTCATAACATTAAACCTTTATCCCTAAAGACATCCGCCATAAACTCCTGATAAAAAATATTATATTTAAGTCTCATCTTATCTTTGAAAGAATCCAAATGTGTTTATCTCTTGTAAAGTTTATTTTGTTATTATATTCCAGTTTTGATCCACTATAGCGAAGCTGCAAGAGCCGCCACTTATAGTAATGTATTGATTCTCTTTAAATATCCCAATGCCATTCACATACCTATTAATAACAGAGCTAGATAATTGCTGAATTTATGGGCATTCCTAAGTGTATTCACAAATTTAGCTACTGTAATTCAAATAATAAGATTATTGACAGGTATTCATACATTTTCTACTTTCGAAAGGTGGATTAAGTAATTATAAATCAGATTCGCAAATCCCTTTTTTAGCATTACACTGATTATTGTTTTTATCAAGCACTAAATTTTCATCACAAACCAGACAAATTTATTAAGAGGTGCACTAGACGCATCCACTGACTTTACATTTAATGCATCTTATGCCTTCGCTGTCAATAACTTCATTTTTTTGGCAAAAATTTTAACAAGTAGAAATATCATCATAACTCATGTAAGAATTATTTACACAACCAATGCATGAGTTTTGGCTTATATTAAAGCAATTTTAGCAATTTGGTGAGCAGCTAAGACATGCTTGTGATAGAGTGTCAAATATTTAAGATATTTAACACGTTTGAGCTAAGCAATATTATAAGAATATTAAATTCATTATAATTTGTATTCCTTTATGCGATTTCATAATTTAATTCCCTTAGTTAATCTAATTTGATAAGTATATTCAAAAATTATTTGCTATTTGTAATTATTTTTAAGCAAATAGTCCAAATCTTAAACAAAATCAAAATAATCTTTGCAATTATCTTTTAATATAAAAACTTGAAATTATATGATTGAGAAATTGTAAAAATCATAGTATTTTAAAACAAAATTATAGTTTTGTGTTATTTCAACTTAACAAAATAAAAAACTATATTTAAAATTTATAAAAATATTTGCTTCAAGTATTACACTTAAAAATGAAGAAAAAATAAAAAGCATATTTTATTAATTTAGACATTTCTGAGAAAAACTATCTTTCAAAAATATTTCATTCAATTTATAAATCTGAGATTTTTAGCAAACAAAAATTAAAAATTCATATGAAAATTATAAAATAAATTTTATTAATATTATGTGATTCAAAATATCATACATCAATTTACACTATTCACCTATTTTTATTAGATTTTTGCCAAATAAATTTACTGTAAAATCTCCTTTTGAAATGTATAAGCCAAAAATAAGTGTTAGAATTCTTTTTAAAAATTAAGCAAAAAGAGTTTTATAACTAAAAATTTTTACTCTGTCTAATTTTAAAAATAATAGGTATATCTGTAAGATAAATCTTAATTTAAAAAAGAAAAAAATTCATGTAGATTACCATATAATTATTTTTTATATAAATAATTTAAAACCTAAAACAGCTAATAAATTATAGTTAAAATGAAATCATTTTTTACAATATTTTTATGTTTAAAAATAGATATTTTCAAAAATTTAATATTTTAAAATTAAAAAACAAAAATAAATATGAAAATATTTTACATTTAAATCATAATTAAACGTTCAAAAATAGAAAAATATCTTTTTATCTAACTTTCTTTCAATTTCTAAAGCATTTCCTTAATCTACTAACAGTATATTTTAATTTTCTTGAGTTTACTGATTTTAAGCATATTATTAAATTGATGTTGAATCTAAATTAGTAGTTGTTAATTCTTTTGATTATTTTAAAAATGAATAAATAATTTGAAAAAAAAAAAATTTACATTATAGATTAGTGTAAGTTTTCCTCGTTTATTCAGTTTAGTTATTTACTTATTTTTAATAATTTAAATTATTGTTCTTCTCTTCTTATTTTATGTTTGATGTCAAATAATTCCAATTAGAATTTCTCTAATTTTCTATTCCTTTTCTCTCTGAAGGGATATTTATAAATTAACTTTCTAGATTAAATTACACCAACAACTACTCTTCGTTGTAAAAATTGTAATTTTTTAAGAATTTGAGAAGAATTTTAAATTTTCTTTAAACTGATTTTAGTTTAATCAAGGATCTTATTTTTGATTTATTAATTATTTAAACATTAGTAAATATACTAGGATATTTTTATTTTAATTTTAAAAGAAAATTCTAAAATAAATTGTTATCTTTTTTATTTGCATTTATCAACACATCTACCATTCCAAATATCAATTATAAGAAGAGATATAAGTTTAATAGTATTATTATTGAAGCAATAATTGCTTAAAAAACTATATATTGGGTTTATTAAAATTATATCTGCTAAATATAGAATAAATTCAAAGCCAATATGCAAAGCATAGTAGATAACTGCTATAAATCATTGTAAATTTATTAAATATAAGGCTTTGATTTTCCAACTAAAAAGATATTAAGCGACATTATTATGTTCATTGTTAAAACCTTTATTCAAAAATATAATAAATATTTATTAAATCGAAATTAATATTTACTTAAATAAACTAATAATTTTCTTTGAGCAAAATAAAAGTTATTATTAGGGTTGTTTTGTAGATGATCTTATAGAACTCCCAATAATACATTTTATCTCTAAATCCTGCAAATATGTATGAATATTATACTTTAATAAAATAAGACTTCTTTTTTTTTCTGACGAGATATACGCTAACAAATAAAATAATAGGTATGATCATTCCATAAATGATCAACAGAGGTAAGCAAAATATAAATATATATGGTAAATGATATTTTGGATCATAGCATTTGATATTATAGTCCAAATCCATATACTTTTAATCTCCTATATAAACACAGTTCATAGATTTACTTAGCATAGTTATAATTGAAACAAAATAATAAAAGTAAATAAAAATTAAAGCAGCTCTGGCATGCCTTATGAATAAATTTTATTTGAACCTTAAAAAAATATAGCCTATTATAAAATATGAGATTATAATTATAATAGGTTGCAATAAAGACCAAAGCAATTAATAGAACCACAAAGGTCGTAAACTAGAGTTCTATGCAAATAAGCAATCTATAGATTTACTGATAGCTCCTAATGGATTACCAGATATTTAAACAGGTACTGAAATAGCCATAAAATTGTTAAATAAGCTATATATCAAAGAAAGAATTTGCAAATGATCATTTAGAATCTTAGAAAATATTTTTGGTCTTTCTGATTTATCTAAAAATATATTTTAAATAAATTTTAAATTATAAAAAAATGCTTGATTAATTACATGTATTGCCTAAAAAAAGTATCCCTGACTTTTTTACATAATGTCCTAAGAGTTTAATATATAACTGATTTTATAAGCTTCTGACCATAAAAAAAATATAAGCTATTACTATAAAGAATTTTAGTAAATTATTTAAAACAATCAGGCTAAGGTTATCTGAGCATTTATAGCATTATTTTGATGTGATTTATTCTGCATACGAATCATCCCAAATTTCACCATATATATCACAAGAAGCACATATTATACCTATATATCCTCTAGCACAATTAAACTTTTTATATAAAAAAGAAATTTAAATATAATTAAAAAAGTATTTACCACATTAATATAATTCAATTTAACATAAATCCTAATATATTAACATTATAAAAAAATAAAAATTTTTATATTTTCGACTGAATTTTTTTAAACTGATAAAAAGTCTAGGAGTGGAGAAAAGAGTGCTTATATATGATGATTTGGAGTAATTAGAAATAGAATTACAAATTCCCAAATTTGAATAAAATTAAAAATGTTACTTTCGATTGATTGCTTTAAGGTTAACAAACATCTGGATTGTAATTACAATAAATAATATCATCAGTCAACTCATTACTCCTCCAGTAACCATTTTTCAACTAAATTTTTGAACCTTAGCAATACTCAGCAGAGTCTGGACATTTTTTGCATTCACCATCCAGAATATCTAATGAGTATTTTCCCTCTGGACAAGACTCACAAATAATAGAATTACTAAATTATTTTTGAATCTAGCCTATTTTACATTGATCAAAATTAAGTATCACTTGAAGATCTAACTAACCTTAATTAAATTAGATATTATTATTAGAATCAACTAATTGTGGAAACACATTTGATTTTATTTTCATAATCATTGAATTTAGTGGTTTATACATAGGTTATACAGTTAAATAAAAACCTCCATTTTAAAAATAACTTGATTTTAAATTTCCTACACATTGTACTTCAACATTTAATTAATCACATATAATTTCTATATTGATCTATCTAATTATTAGTAAGACATCATCACTTAAGTAATTTTAATCTTGAATTGATGGGATAAAAACAGGACTTTCTTCTTCATCAAGAACTTGTATTTTTTTAAAAATAATTTACTCACCACTTTAAATTCCTTCTACTTCAAGTTAGTTCTATTTGTAATTTATATTATGTGAGCTTTAAATAGTAATATCTTTTTGAGAAATGTAAATTGATCTTAAGGTTGATCCTAAATTTTTACCATAGATACTTGCATAATTATTTTAAATAGTATTATTTTGCTTGATACCATTTTATAGTAATAATACAAAGTCAGGAATTATTTATTAATAATAAATTCCACCTCCTATTTGAGCTCTATTTGATTCTATTTGAGAGTTTTTTAAAATTAAATTAACCTTAGATAGGTTGATAGCTCCCCCTGTTGATAGAATAGCTTAATTACCAATAAAATAAGATTAGCTAATATCCAATATTCCTAAATATTCTACATTTATAAAATTGATTGCACCACCATTTTTTAAAAGGCATTTATTAGAAATAAAGTGTGAGTAATATATATTAACTTATTATGTCTCTATTAATTATAAAGCACCTCCATATCCATCTGAGTTTATATTATCTTAAAACATACATGCAGTTAATGTAATATTGTAGCATTAATTAACCTGTATAAATGATGAGAATGTGTTTTAATTTAATTTGTTAAGCTTAAGAGTTATATTATCTAAAGTAACTTAATCTAAATTATTCAATAAAATAAGAGAAGCTTCTAAATTAATTTAATTATTAATAAAAGATGAATTAAGTAGCTCTGCTTCCCTGAATTTAAATTGTTAATTTTTTTAAAGCTATTGTTAATTTACTGATAAGAATGATATAAAATTATTATGAAATTAATTATTCTAAATAGTGAAACTTGTAATATTTATTAAATTTATTGCAAATTAATGATTTTTATTATTAGATAAAGGTTATATATTATCCATAAACAATTTATTTATTTATAATTCTTGAGCTGTAATATCTATGATATTAAAATCTGTATACATTGAGCTTACAGTAAAATTTTTAACTTAAATTGAATCAACTTGCAAAAATATTTTAGTTTAGTTAGAATTTTCTATTATTATATTTATCATGAACAAATTTTAACAAATATATAAAATGGGATTAATATCTAAATTTTACAAGCTGGCCAAGCTAATTTAGTTACTATTTCTAACTTATATTTCTTATATATTGGTATAAGATGAAAATAAAGCATTAAAAATTGTAGCAAATTGTAATTTAATGATTTAAATTTTTGTGATGTTAGAGTTTTAAATTAATTAGACATTGAAAAGTTAAATATTTTATGATTAAGAAATGTTTAAATCAGATGCTTCTAGATATTAAGAATTATTTAATTAAAATATTTGTAAGTTAGAAGAATCAGTAACATTAATATTATTGATAGTTAAATTTGTATTATTATTCGCACTAAAAATACTTTGAAGATTTTAGTCTAATTTCATAGATTATTTAATATTTATGTTAGAAAGATAAACATTCTTAATTTGAATTATAGTGTTATTAATCAGATTGAATAAAGTATTCTAAAGTATGCTTAAGTCGCTTATATTAATTTTTTCTATAACAACTTTTTAACAATTTTAAATAATTATATTTCCAAAACTTGAGTCTTCGTGTGCAACTAAATTTATGCCAGTAAGATAAACCTTTTCAAAATTTTATAAAATCAGTGAATTTTAAATGTTTAAAGTTATATCAGACATTTAAAATGTTTTCATTAAATTATTTTAATTTAGATTTATTAAACCCAAGCTCAAGGACATTTATTTTATCTAAAAATTTACAATTTGCTTTGCATAAGGAATATTATCTGACCAACATATTTTGCTATTTTAAGAAGTTGAATAATTAATCAAAGATAATTATTAACTAGCCTCAATTTGTTTAAATATTTATTGAGATAATGATCTAATACATTATTATTCTAGATAAGCTATTTCTATAACTTGAAGAGTTGTATCAATATTAAAATTTTATAAATTTGACAGAGTTTGGTATACTGTTTCTTATGTACGTATACTCTCTTCAGTTCGATTCTATTATTATATGTTGAGATTACATTTATTGTTAGGAGATAATGGTATTACTATTTTTTCAATATCAGACTAGGAAGATAAGATTATTAATAAACTGTATTCTTCATCTTAACTTTTTATGAGTTGCAAAACCTAGACTTGATAATATCTTCCTTACTTTTAAAAGAGAATTTTATAATTAGAATTATATTGCAATTATATTAAGTAAATTTATTCTTTTTAGATTATTATGAAGTAATTATTAAAATTGATACTAATCATATTTGTCGCTTCTTCTATTCCATAATTTATTACAGGAAATTATTATTAAAAGCTCAAACCATTATAGATTATTATATCTGTTGGACAAACAGAATATATGAAATTAGAGTCAAAAGTTATTATTGCTTGCTTTAAGCATGGATTAAACAAAGAACTTATAAAATTCAAATTCCAATCGTAAATATTTGTTATACCTTTATTTAAAACAGTATAGATTATTTTTCTAAAAGGATCATTCACGATGTTTGTAATTGTAGTTTCTTGGAGTAATAATTGTTAAAATAAATTTGTATTCACATTTAAAATTTAGATAATAGTGTTTTAAGAATCTAATGAAACAATACACACTAAAGAAGTGCTTTAGTTTGATTCAATGTAATCACTAGTATTATATCTGTCTTCATATTCAAAAGGGATCTTCCACCAACTACTTTAATAATTCTTTATATCTTTAGATTAAAGCTTAAACATGAACTAAAATGCACTCGTATTTTAAAGATTAACATCATTTATTATTTTAGTTGAAATATTGAAGGTATAAACTATATTGACAGAAGGAAGAACAATAAAATCACCAATTATTAAGGCTTAAGAGAAGTCACTCTATGGAAGATTAGCAAAATTAACTTCATTAATTTATTGAGCCTAAAGGTTTATTTAACTTAATTATAAGTTTTGTTAGTATAAAATGAGAATTTGCTACCTAGGTTTATCATAAAAATAGTTGTCTGGATTTTAAGATAATTGTATCTTTTAAATTAATTATAATTTTTCTTTTAATAAATCTACTTCGATTAAGAAAAAGTTATCAAACAGTATATACATAATTTATTTTGTGCTTATTTGTATTAACTCAGTAAAGTATGGATGAATATTGTACTAATCTTGCAATAGCACTAAATAATCAACTTACACTGCTTATTTAAATAAGTTAATGCAGTAATTTGATAAACTATAGTAAACTTAATATGAATCGTTGAGTACTATGTTTTATATGTTTTAGTATTAAGCTAAATTAACTTCAGAAGAATAGAGAACTTCTGTCAAATCAAAAGAAATCAGTGCTTTTTCAGTCAATACATTTAATAAATTAAATTATGTGTTTAAGTATATATTTTATATAGGTGTTTCTTCTTATAATTTTAGGGAGAAACTCTCTATAAAAGTCATTGAAGGAAACTTATATATGTGAATAAACTTATCTGAGTATAGAAAAATGATATTTTTTTTCTCATCCATTATAATTCCCTTTGTTTGATATACTTGAATTTTAAAAAGAGTTACTTCGTTTGTTAAACAATTGCATAAATAAATTGTTGGAGTATTATCAATAACAATTAAGTTTTAATTTTCTTTAAAGTAGTACACTGAATTATTATCAAATTAACTAGTAGTTTTATATAAAAATAAGATATTATTAGTAAAAATATTTTTAATAAGGATCTGCTTTTGTTATCCTGTGATTAGAATGTAGATGTTTTTATCTAGATCATAATAAGCTTATGTTAACTCGTATTAGCAAGCATCCTAGTAATTTATTGGATAGTACTATTAATTTTTCACTATCTGTATTTAGTCTTCTTAGGTATAAATTGCAAGTAGTTAATTTTACACTTTTAGTATAGGATTACAACACAAACCTTCATCATAAAATCGAAATAATATCTATTAATAATATAATAATTACATATTTTAATTACTAAAATGAAATAATCTTAAATTTATTTAAAAGAATAAATATATATTTATTTATTATTAAATGGTTTCAAAAAATTAAAATTTTAAACATTTTTAAAAAATATTTACTTTATCTAGCAATAGTTTTCCGGTTGTATAATCAAAGACCTCGAAACAAGGTTTGCTGAAAATTATTAATTTAGCATCACAATCTAAATCAAATAATATCTAACTCATATCTGAATAAGACCTACAGAACTATGAACTCCAATCTATTTAAACTTAGCTATTATTATCTTACATCTATATAAATTAAATATATTAGTTAATTAGTAAATATAATGGAATTTAAAATTTTACGTTAATAGAGTAGATAGTATTTTAGTTGGTTAATGCAACTATAACACCTTACTTCTAGCACACTTTGTATTAAGTTATCCCAAAACCTAGATTGCATATTTATATGTCTTGAGTATTTGAAAAAGCAGAAAATAAATTTATTGAATTATATTTTACATAAATAAATTCTAGGGAAATCCAATTTAAAACATAAATATTAAGGTCTAAGAATAGAAAGGTATTCATATTGATAACTTTAAAAACATCTGTTGAATTGTAAATAATAATTTAATTAGGAATTATATCATAAATTGCAATCCAGTTTTGATTGTTATCAAATTATTATGCAAGAAATATCTAAAGGTAAGGCTTTAAATTTAAAATGCGATATGGATTATTAAATAAATTTATATGCCAATAAAAGTCATTTTATGATTAGAAGAAGTGAATTTAAGAATCATCCTATAGTTTTTACCCTATATATAAGTTATCCTCTTGTTATGTTTTGATTATTATCATATTTTAACTATCTATGATATTTTCTGATTTCTTGAAGTATTGAGAATCATCTAAACGATAATAGTTAATTGATTAATCAATTGGTTATGTGTTTATAGATGTACTTGTTGTTGTTAAATTTAGTAATTATTTTGTAAGGAAATCAAATTTGTAAAAATAATAAAATACACAAAAGTACATTTATTTGTCATCATAGAGAAAGTTTTTTATGAAAAATCCAGAATAAATTGTACTAATATATTATAGGTCAAATGTATATGCTTATATATTATTAGTTCCTATTATAAATATCTCTTTAGTTATTTAAGAAGTCAAAAAAGTATTTGTGTAAAAATGATTTATCTTAACTAATTAGTATTCAAGCGTTCTCTTGCTTATAGAAAATGGCTAAAGTTAAAAATCAGCTGTATATAAATAAATAAGATCTCCATCAAAAATTGCAGGCAAATGTTTATCATAATCAATAAAAATAAAATTAGCAAAATTTTAAGTAGGAGAAAAAGTAAAAATCTAAACTAAACTCGCCGATACTAAATCAAGCTAATAAAGTGACTAGTCCTTCAGAATCACTAAAAAACTATCTTGTACTACTATAAAAATCCCCTGCATGTCAGTTAAGTTAGCAAATATTCTTTAATTAGCTAAGTCTATAAATAAGAATGTCTCCATTATTATCAAAATTTTTTTGGATTAGATGTAACAAAGAATAGACCTTTCAAAATAACTATTTAAATTATAATTTATTATAAGCTTTTTATTAACAATATCAGTAATAAACTCTTATAAAACTCCGAATTGCGCTGAAAATGATGTTATTAAATATTAATTGTCAATTAAACGATGAGTTGCTTTTTACATACTTGACACTTAAAGAGATTATTAAATAGTTGTTAAAATTCTTGGATTTTTTTAGAGGTTATTTAGTTAGTATATTAGATTTTACTTGCTTATAACAATCTACTAAAGCAAATAATTATTATTTATTGTATAAAATTAAGGTTTTTAAGTTATTTAATTTAGATTCAAAATTAGTTAATTCTAAGATATAATATTGAATCGATACCTGTCTTAGCTCATAGCTTGTTAGTAAAGCTAAGTATTTTAGCTTAAAAATTAATATGGACTAAGAAATTAGAATGAGAAATCATTTGTAATTAAATTTTATTAAATTCGTATGCAATTATTGTAAATTCCAAAGTTATAAGCATCTGTAATGTATTTATTTAATATAATTTATATTTAATCTTACCATATGAAAAATCCTATTATCTAATAGTCTAATAAATTCTTTTTTATTTATTTAAAATTAATGCTTATTTTTGATTAAGTATTTTAGTATTAATAGATAACGTCAGTTAAATTTGCAAATACATAGGAATTCTAGTTTTCAAGTAAAATAAAAAAGCTATTTTAAATTTAATTATTATTTGCTATCATAAAATAAAAAAAATCTGTTGAGATTTCCTAATTTATCAAAACTCCATCATAAGTGTCATTAAATTATATTAATAATAAACTTTTTCTATATTAATTATATTGTACTACTAAATTAAGAGATTGGCATGAAAATATGTAAGTAGGAGGAAATATTTATAAAACGAGGATCTAGTCTAAAAGTTCTCCATCTTATTAAAACGTTGATTTATAGTATACATAATCATTAGTTAAATTTGTAATAAGCGTTGAAGATATAATATAATTTTATTTTTACAACAATATTTTATCAGGAGCAACACTGAAGCATTTTTTTGACTATGTAAGTGATATAGAAAAGTCTTATTGAAATTTTCCTATCTAATTTGTATTAAAAAATAATTAATTTGAATATATTAATTAATTTAAGAGTAAATTAAATAATTACAAATAGTTAAGTAGCATCTTAAGACTGAATATAATATGTACTAAATATCTTTAATAGAATAAAATGATTGATTTATAGCTAAATACTATTAATTTTTTTATTGTTTATGTCATACCAAATTAAAGCTGATGCTTAATTATCTACCATGAAAACTAGCTTATAAACATCATCTGTGTAAATAATTTTATACTATTACTCTAAATTTTTTTCATCGAATTCTATTTGTAGAGTCTCAAAATTCATAACACTAAACCTTTATCCTCGCATACATCCACCATACATTCCAGTAAAGAAAAAATAATTTTTACTTTCATCTTATGTTACATCGATTTCAAATGAATTTTTATCTAGCAGAGTTTATTTAGTTATTATATTCCAATTTATATCCACAATTGCAAAACTACAAGATACTCCACTTATAACCATGTATTGATTCTCTTTAATGATTGCAATTTCATCCACAAATGTATCCATAATATAGCTAGATAATTGCTAAATTTATGGGCATTCTTAAGTATATTCACAAATCTAGCTATTATAATTCTAATAATAAGATTAAAGACAGCTATTTGTGCATTTTCTACTTTCAAAAGGTGGATTAAGAAATTATTAATCAGATTCGCAAATCCCTTTTTTAGCATTGCACTGATTATTATTTTTATCAAGCACTAAATTCTGATCACAGACCAGACAAATTTATGAAGAGGTGCACTAAACGCACCCATTGACCTTGCATTTAATGCATCTTTTGCTTTCACTATCAACAAATTCGCTTTTTCGACATTAAATTTGACAAGTAGAAATATCATCATAACTCAAATAAGAATTTTTTACACAACCAATGCATGATTATTGGCTTATATTAAAACAATTTTCACAAACTGATGAACAACTAAGACAAGCTTGAGATAGAGCATCTAATATTTAAGATTTTTAACATATTTGAGCTAAGCAATATTATACGAATATTAGACTAATTATAATTTTGTACATTATATATAATCTGATAGTTTTACTTTTATGCTAATTAATCTAATTAAATGAGTAAATTCACAAATTTTCTACAATTTTTTTAGCAAAATGTATATATATTTCTTAATAAAAATCAAACTAAGCATTTTTCTCACCTAATTAAATTAAAAACCAAATTTGAAATTTTTTGATTCATGAACTATAAAAATCCTACTACATGCTTGTTTAAATATTTCTTCCATACTTCTTAATAGCAAAAGATATTTGATTTGAACAGCCATTAAATTTATATAATATTTAGAAGAATTAAAGAAGAAACAGTTACCCTTACTTAGATTTTCCTTTATAACAATTATTATGATATTTGAATATTTAAAAAGATGGTTATATTAAAACAACATAAAATGACATATATAAACTTCTTAATAATTTCCATACAATAAGATAATTTTAACTTAAAGATAACTATTTATTTTTTTTAAGGAAAGTGAAAAAAAATTAACTCCATTATGTATTGCCCAAGAAAGGAATTTTATTTAAAAATATAAGAATTACAATTTGCTTGAATTAAAGTACAAAAAAAATTGTGATTTCAGCTATATTGACTTCATATTAATTGAATATTTTCATATTTAATTTAAAGATTCATCCAATTTTAAAGCTTTTATATATATTTATATGTATAGTACCCTAGGGTACAGCCTTTTTCAAGGTTATAAAAACTCTGAAATTTTAGATATTAAAATATTAAAAGAAAAAAATCAGTTTAAAATCATATTATATCTTAATTTCAGGATTACCAATATAAATAAAAAATATAAACAAATTTAAAAATATTTCATATTTAAATCACAAATAAGACATCAATAATTTAAAGGTTTCTATTAATCTAACTTGCTTTCAAATTCTAAAGTATTTAACATTATATTTTAATTTTCTTGATTTTAAACATCATTTTAAAGTGTTATGAAATCTATGTTGGTAACTGTTTATTCTTTTTATAAAAATAAATAAATAATTTGAAAAAAAGAAAATAAATTTTTTTACATTAGAGATTATTGTAGGTTCTCCTCATTTATTGAGATTAGTCGCTTATTTAGTTAAAATAATTTAAATTGTAGTTATTCTCTTCTTATTTAATGCTGGAAGTCAAAAAATTCAAATTAAGTTTTCTCACCTTTTCTAGCTATTTTCTCTCTGAAGGGATAGGCATAAATTAGCTTTCTAGATTAAACTACACCAGCAATTGCTCTTCGTTATAAAAATTGTAATTTTTTAAGAATTTCAGAAGAAGTCTAAATTTTCTTTAAACTTCTTTTAACTTAATCAAAGATCTTATTTTTTAGTTGCTAATTATTTAAACATTAGTGAATTTATTAGGGAATTTTAATTTTAATTTAAAGAGTAAATTCTTAACTAAATTATTATCAGTTTTATTTGCTTTTACTTATATATTTACCATTCCAAATATCAATTGTAAGAAGAGATATATGTTTGGTAGTATGATAATTAAAATAGTTATCACTTAAAAAACTATTTGTCGGATTTAGCCAGACGAAATCTGCTAAATATAAAACAAATTCAAAGATAATATGCAAAGCAAATTAGAAAAATGCTGTAAATCATTGTAATTTTATTAAATATAGGGTTTTGCTTTTCCAACTAAAAAGATATTAAGTGACATTATGATGTTCATTATCAAAACCTTTATTCAAAAATAGATTAAGTTTTTTAAAAATGAAATGAATTTTTACTTAAATTAATTGATTTTTTTCTTTGAGTAAAATAAAAATTATGATTAAGGTTGCTTTGTAGATGATCTTATAGAATTCCCAATAGTACATTGTATCTCTAAATCCTGCAAATATGTATGAATATTACACTTTAATAAAAAAAGACTTCTTTCCCTTTCTTACAAGATACACTTTAACAAACAAAATAGCAGGTATGATAATTCCATAGATGATCAATAGAGGTAAGCAAAATATAAAAATATATGGTAAATGATGTTTTGGATCATAACATTTGATATTATAGTCCAAATCCATATACTTTTAATCTCCCATCTAAACGCAGTTCATAGACTTACTTAAAATAGTAATAACTGAAACAAAATAGTAAAAGTAAATAAAAATTAAAGCAGCTCTGGCATGCCTTATGAATAAATTTTATTTGAACTTTAAAAAAATATAACCTATTAAAAAATAGAGGGTTATTATTAAAATAGGCTGCAATAAAGACCAAAGCAATTAATAGAACCACAAAGGTTGTAAACTAGGGCTCTTTGCATATAAGCAGTCTATAGATTTACTGATAGCTCCTAATGGATTACCTGATATTTATACAGGTACTGAAATAGCCATAAAATTGCTAAATAAGCTACAAATCAAAGAAAGAATTTGCAAATGATCATTTAGAATCTTAGAAAATATTTTTTGTCTTTCAGATTTATCTAAAATATAATTTTAAATTAATTTAAATTTATTTTTAAAAATTCTTGATTACATGTGTTGCTTAAAAAAAGAATTCCTGAATTTTTAACATAATGACCTAAAAGTTTAACATACAACTATTTTAGCAAGCTTCTGACCATAAAAAAAATATAAGCCATTACTACAAAAAACTTTAGTAAATTATTTAAAATAATTAGCATAATATTATCTGAGCATTTATAGCATTATTTTTATGTGATTTATTCTGCATACGAATCTTCCCAAATTTAACCATAAATATCACAAGATCTACATATCATGCCTATATATCCTCTAGCACAATTGAACTTTTTATTTTAAAATTAAATTAGAATAAAATAATTATTTAAAAGTATTTATCTCATTTATTTAATTTGAAATAATTAGAAATTCGATAATTTATCAAGGATACTCTTCTTGCGCATAGTGCGCCACATCACATAAAAAGCACATATTTAAATGATATTTTTTGTGTTATTTATCTACATTGCCCGAATTTATTACCCTACAAAATAAAAATACAACAAATGTAAATTTAAATTCTAGGAATATTTTAATTATATTGAATTTAAGTTAATTCTATCTCTTATTTTTAAGTTTAATTATCAATTTAAAAAGTGTTTAAATTTTTGCAAAAGTTAGCATTAATATGAAATAATAACCCATAATTTTAAAATATATCAATTCTTAATTCAAATTTTACTTTGTTTATTTTCTTTATTAGATTAATTATTTGTCTTTCTTTAAAAATTATTTAAAATGCTAAGTTATTAGTTTCTTGATGAAGATGTACTTAAAAGGTTACAATATTCATCAGGATATTCTAAGTTAGTTTAAATGGTAAAATGAATTTTTTTCTACATAAATTTTCAACACATTTTTGTATTATAAAAAATTAAATAGATTGATAAATGGGTATTGTAATATTTTTTTTAATTACTGATTTTTCTTTTTATTTTTGAAAATAAGAAAAGTTTTATTATCAAAAAATAAATATTTTATTCTAAAAATGCTAATATGAAACAAAAGAGGTATGTTTTATTCTATAAAATCATTTAAAAAGTCTTTTTTTATTTTGCTTTTTCTTTTTAAAATAAATAACCATTATAGCTTTGGTACGCGCACACTTTTTAATATCATATTCAGAAAAAGATACCACAAATTATTTCAAATTTAAACAAAATTAATAATCTTACTTTTGATTTATTACTTTAAGGTTAACAAACATCAGGATTGTAATTACAATAAATAATATCATCAGTAAATTCATTACTTCTCCAATAACCATTTTTCAACTATATTTTTGAACCTGAGCAATAATCAGCAGAGTCTGGACATTTTTTGCATTCACCATCAAGAATATCTAATGAATATTTTCCCTCTGGACAAGACTCACAAATAATAGAATTACTAAATTATTTTTGAATCTGCCCTATTTTACATTGATCAAAATTAAGTAGCACTTAAAGATCTAACTAACCTTAATTAATTTAGATATTATTATTTGAATCAACTAATTGTGGAAACACATTTGATCTTATTTTCATAATCATTGTACTTAATGGCTTATACATAGGCTATACTGTTAAATAAAACCCTCCATTTTAATAATCACTTGATTTTAAATTTCCTACACATTATATTTATTACACATTTAATTAATCACATGTAATTTCTATATTGATCTATCTAATTATTAGTAAGACATCATCACTTAAGCTACTTTGGTTTTGAATTGATGGGATAAAAACAGGAGTTCCTTCTTCATCAAGAACTTGTATTTTTTTAAAAATAATTTACTCACCACTTTAAATTCCTTCTACCTCAAGTTAATTTTATTTGTAATTTATATTATGTAAGCTTTTAATAGAAATATCTTTCTAAGAAATATAAATTTTCCTTAAAGTTGATCCTAAATTTTTACCATAGATGCTAGCATAATTATTTTAAATGGTATTATTTTGCTTGATACCTTTCTATATTAATAAAACAAAGTCAGGGACTATTTATTGATAATAAATTCCACCTCCTATTTGAGCTTTATTTGATTCTATTTGTGAGTTCTTTAATATTAAATTAACTTTGGATAGATTAATAGCTCCTCCAGTAGATAGCACGGCTTAATTTACAACAAAAGCAGAAAAATTAATATCCAAAGTACCTAAATATTATGTATTTATAAAATTTATTGCACCTCCATTTTTTTAAAGACATTTATTAGAAATAAAACTTGAGTAATATATATGAACTTTTTAAGTCTCTATTAGTTATAAAGCACCTCCATATCCATTTGAGTTTATATTATCTTTAAATATACATTTAGCTAATGTAATATTGTAGCATTAATTAACTTGTATAAATGATGAGAATGTGTTTTAATTTAATTTGTTAAGCTTAAGAGTTATATAATCTAATGTTACTTAATCTAAGTTATTTAGTAAAATTAGTGAAGCTTCCAAATTAATTTTATTATTAATATATGATGATTTAAGTAACTTTGCCTCCCGTTAGTATAGCAGCTAGTTATTTTAAAGCTATTATTCATTAACTGATAAGAATGATATAAAGTTATCAAAAAATTAACTATTTTAAATAGTAAAGCTTGTAATGTTAATAAAATTTATAGCAAATTGATGTTTTTTATTATTTGATAAAGGTTATATATTATCCATCGACATTTTGTTTATTTATAATACTTGAGCAGTCATATCTATGATATTAAAATCTGTAAACACCTAACTTACAGTAAAATTTTTAACTTAAATTGAATCAACTTGTAAAAATATTTAAGTTTAGTTAGAATTAATAATAATTACATCTTTTATCAATAAACTCTAACAAATAAATTAAACTAGATTAATTTCTAAGTTTTACAAGCTAATCAAGCTAACAGAGTTACTATTTTTAACTTCTATTTATTATAAACTGGTATGAGATGAAAATAATGCATTAAAAATTGTAGAAAAATGTAATTTAGCCATTTAAATATTTGTGATGTTAGAATTTTAGATTAATTAGACATTGAAAAGCTAAATATTCTATGATTAAGTAATATTGAGATCAGACACTTCCAGATTGTAAGAATTGTTTAAGTAAAATATTTGCAAGTTCGAAGAACTAATCACATTAATATTATTGATAGTTATATTTGTATTATTAGTGGCACTAAAAATGCTTTGTAGATTTTGGTTTAATTTCAATTATTTAATATTTATGTTAGAAAAATAAACATTCTTAATTTAAACTATTGTGTTATTAATCATATTGAATAAAGTATTTGAGATTATGCTTAAGTCAGTTATATTAAGTTTTTCTATAACAAGTAATTAACAATTTTAAATAATTAATTGTCCAAAGCTTAAGTTTTCTTGTGCAACTATATTTATATTAGTAAGATAAACTTTTTCAAAATTTTACAAAATCAGTGAATTTTATATGTTTAAAGTTATATCTGACATTTAAAATATTTTCATGAAATTATTTTAATTTAGATTTATTAAACCCAAGCTCAATGACATTTATTTTATCTAAAAATTTATAATTTATTTTGCATAAGGAATGTTTTCTTACCAACAAATATTACTATTTTAAGAAGTTGAATAATTAATCAAAGATAATTATTAACTTACTTAAATTTTGTTAAATAATTATTGAGATAATGATCTAATACATTATTGATCAAGATAAGCTATTTCAATTACTTGAAGAGTTGTATCAATATGAAAATTTTATAAATTTGAGAGAGTTTATTAAAGCGTTTCTTAAGTACGAATATTCTCTTCAGTTCGATTCTATTGCTCTATACTAAGATTACATTTATTGTTAGGAGATAATGGTATTACTATTCTTTCTATATCAGACTAAGAAGACAAGATAATTAATAAACTAAATTACCCTTCTTAACTTTTTATTAGTTACAAAACTTAGACTTGATAATATTTCTTATTTTTTTAAAATAGGACTTAATAATCAGAGTTATATTACAATTATATTAAGTAAATTTTTTCTTTTTAGATTATTATAAAGTAATTATTAAAATTGATACTTATCATATTTATTGCTTCTTCTATTCCATAATTTATTACAGGAAATTATTCTTAAAAGCTCAAACCATTATAGATTATTATATCTGTTGGACAAACAGAATATATGAAATTAGAGTCAAAAGTTATTATTGATTGCTTTAAGCATGGATTGAGCATAGAATTTATAAATTTCAAGTTCCAATCATAAATATTTGTTATACCTTTATTTAAGACAGCATATATTATTTTTCTAAAAGGATCATTCACAATGTTTGCAATTGTAGTTTTTTGAAGTAATAATTGTTAAAATAAATTTGTATTAACATTTAAAATTTAGATAATTGTGTTTTAAGAATCTAATGAAACAATACACACTAAAGAAGTACTTTAGTTAGGCTCAATATAATCATTAGTATTAAATCTGTCTTCGTATTCAAAAGGGATTTTCCACCAACTATTTTGATAATTCTTAATATCTTTGGATTAAAGCTTAAACATGAATTAAAATACACTAGTATTTTAAAGATTAATATTATTTATTTTTTTAGTTAAAATATTGAAGGTATAAATTATATTTATAGAAGGAAGGACTATAAAATCACCAATTATTAAGGCTTAAGAGAAGTCACTCTATGGAAGATTAGAAAAATTAATTTCACTAATTTGCTCAGCTTAAAGGTTTAATTAGTTTAATTGCAAATTTTGTTAGTATAAAATGAAAATTTGCTACCTTTGTTAATCATAAAAATAGTTGTCTGGACTTTAAGACAATTATATCTTTTAAATTAATTACAATTTTTCTTTTAATAAATCTACTTCGATTAAGAAAAGGTTATCAAACAATATATAAATAATTTATTTTGTGCTTATTTGTATTAACTCAGTAAAATAGGGATGAATATTGTACTAATCTTGCAATAACATTAAATAATCAACTAAAACAGCTTATTTAAACAAGTTAATACAATAATTTGCTAAACTATAATAAACTTAATATTAGTCGTTGAGTACTATGTTTTATATATTTTGGTATTAAGCTAAATTAACTTCAGAAGAATAGAGAACTTCTGTCAAATCAAAAGAGATTAGTGTAGTTTAAGTCAATACGTTTAATAAATTAAACTAAGCATTTAAGTATATATTTTGAATAGGAGTTTCTTCTTATTATTGCAAGGAAAAACTCTCTACAAATTTCATTTAAGGATACTAATATATGTGAATAAACTTATCTGAATATAAAAAAATGATGTTTTTTATCTCGTCCATTATGATTCCCTTTGTTTGATATACTTGAATTTTAAAAAGAGTCATATTTTTTGTTTTACAATCACATAAATAAATTATTGGAGTATTATCAATAACAATTAAACTTTTTTATTTTTAAAAATAGTATGCTAAGTTATTTTCAAAATGGTTAGTAGTTTTATATAAAAAGAATGTGCTATTAGTAAAAACATTGATAATAAAGATCTATTTTTTTGATCCAGTGAGGAGAATATAGATATCTTTTTCTAGATCATAGTGTGATTACGTTAATTCATACTAACAAATATCCTTGTAATTTATTAGTTAATCTTAATTTTTTTTGATGATATGGATTTAATTTTCTAAGGTATAAACAGCAAACAGTTAATTATCCACTTTTATTATTGGATTAGAACATAAATTCACACCATAATATTGAGGCAAAGACTATTTAATAAATAATTAAGTCATAAATTTAACAAGTATAATGAAATAAATTTTAACTATATTTTAATGATAATATTACATTAAGTTTATTTTTAAATGCTATTATGAAATTAAAAATATTTGAATTTATGAAAAAATACTTACTTAATATTCATATGGTTATCCACTTGTATAATCAAAGACATAGAAACAAGGTTTGCTCAAAATTATTTTTTTTTCATTACAATCTAAATCAAATAATATCTCACTCAAATCTAAGTAAGGCAGACATTATAATTAACTCAAATTTATTTAAATTTAACTAAAATCTAACATCTATTTATAAAATAAATAAATAAAATATTAAGAATTAAATTTGATTAACAATTTTACGTTTATAGAGTAGATGGTATTTTAGCTGGTTAATGTAACTATAATATTTTGCTACTAGCATACTCTATACTTCAATATCTTAGAATCTAAAATGCATATTTGCTTATCTTGAGTATTTGAAAAAGCAGAAAAAAAATACAGCGAATTATTTTTTACATAAATAAATTATAGAGAAATCCAATTTAAAACATAAACACTTATGTCTGACCAAAGCTAGAAATTCAAATTGATAACTTTAAAAACATCTGTTGAATTGTAAATAGTAATTTAATTAGAGCTCTTATCATAAATTGCAATCCAGTTTTAATCATTATCAAATTATTATGCAAGAAATATCTAACTCTAAGGAATTAAATATAAAATATGATAAGGACTATTAAATAAATTTTTATGCCAATAGAATTCATTTTATGATTAGAAGAAGTGAATTTAAGAATCATCATATTAAGTTTACCCTATATATATGTTATCAACTTGTTATGTTTTAATTATTATCATATTTTAACTATCTATGACATTTTCTGATTTCTTGTAGTATCGCGTATCATCTAAACGATAATAATTAATTTTTTAATCAATTGGTTAATTTTTTATAGATGTACTTGTAGTTGTTAAATTTAATAATTGTTTTGTAAGTAGATCAAATTTATAAAAAATGTCAAATTCACAAAAGTATATTGATTTATCATCATAGAAAAAATCTGTTATGAAGAATCCAGATTAAACTCTATCAAAATTTTATAGGTCAAATGAATAAGCTAAAATATCATTAAATCCAATAGCAAATATCTCTTTAGTTATTTATGAAGTCAAAAAAAAGTTTGTATAAAATATACCTAAATTAACTAACTAGTATTTAAGTGTTCTACTGCTTATTGAAAATGGTTAAAATAAATTGCCAGCTGATTTCAAATAAATAAGATCTCCATCAAAAATTACAGGTAATTTTTTATCTCTATCAATAAACATAAAATTTTCAAAATTTTAAGAAGGAGAAAAGCTAAAAATCTAAGTTAAACTAGCTGTTACTAAATCAAGCTAGTAAAGTGACTAATCCTGAAGGTTGAGAATCACTAAAAAATTATCTTGTACAACGATAAAACTGCCCTATATGTTAGTCAAATTAGCAAATATTCTTTGATTTGCTAAGTCTACTAATAAGAATATTTCTAATATTATCAATATTTATTTGGATTAAATGTAACATACATTAGACCTACCATAATAGCTCTATATATTATAATTTATTATAAGCTTTTTATTAACAATATCAGTGATATATTCTTATATAACTTGGAAGTCAGTTGAAAATGATGTTATTAAATACTAATTATCAATTACACGATTAATTTCCTGTTGTATGCCTTACACTAAAAAAGATTATTAAATCGTTGTCAAAATTCTTGGATTTTTTTAGAGGTTATTCAGTTAGTAAATTATATTTTACTTGCTTATAAGAACCTACTAAAGGGAATAATTATCATTTATAGTATAAAATTAAGGTTTTTAAGTTGCTTTATTTACATTCAAAATTAGTTAATTTATAGATAGAGTCTTGAATCGATACTATACTTAGCTCATTACTTGATTATAAAGTATAATACTTTAGCTTAAAGATTAATATGGATTAAGAAATTCGAATAAGAAATCATTTTTGATTAAATTGTATTTAACTCGTACACAATCATTATAAATTCCAAAGTTAAAAGCGTATTGTATTGATATTCTTAATAAAATCTATATTTCATCTTACTATACCATAAAACCAATTACTTCATATTTTGGGTATTTCTTGTTTATTTATTTAAAATTTACACTAATTTCTGTTTATGTATTTTAGTATTAATTGAAAATGTCAGTCAAATTTGCAAATAAATAAGAATTCTAGTTTTCAAGTAAAATAAATTGGCTATTTAAAATATGATTAATACTATCAGTAATAAATAAAAAATAATCCTGAGAGATTACCTAATTTATCAAAACTCCATCGTAAGTGTCATTAAATTTTATAAAGAGTAGATTTTGGCTAATTTAATCACATTACACTATCAAGTTAAGTGATTAATATGAAAGTAAAAAACTAGGAAAATAGTCAATTTGTAAAATGAGGATCTAATCTATGAGTTCTCCATCTTACTGAAATGTTAATTTGTAGAAAAAATTTTAATTACCATGAATTTTTGATGATATAATATAATTATCTTTTTGCAGCAATATATTTTCAGGAATATCACTGAAAGATTTTTTTGACTATCTAAGTGAAATAGAAAAGTCCTATTGAAGTGTTCCTACCTAATATAAATTAAATATATTCATTAAATTGAGTTTATTTATAAGTTAATTTAATAATTACAAATAGTTAATTAACTAGCTTAGACTGAAAATAATATCTGCTTAATATTTTTAATTGAATTATTTCTCTGATTTATAGTTAAATTGTATTAATTTTTTTATTTTATATGTCATACCATTTTAAATCTGATTCTTAAAAATTAGTCATGAAAACGAGCTAAAAAACATCATCTACATAACTAATATTATATTCTTATCCCAAATTTTATTCATCGAATTCTATTTGTAGAGTCTCAAAATTCATAACATTAAACCTTTATCCCTGGAGAATTCCACCATAAATTCCTGAAAAAAAAGTGGATATATAGGTCTCATCTTATCTATCAAAGAATGAATATGCGTTTATCTCTTGTAAAGTTTATATAGTTATAATATTCCAGTTTTAATCCACAACAGCGAAACTGCAAGAACTTCCACTTATAACTATGTATTAATTCTCTTTAAATATTGCAATACCATTCACAAATGTATTCATAACAAAGCTAGATAATTACTGAATTTGTGGGCATTCCTGAGTATATTCACAAATCTAGCTACTATAATTCTAATAATAAGATTATTGACAGTTATTCGTGCATTTTCTACTTTCGAAAGGTGGATTAAGAAATTATAAATCAGATTCGCAAACACCTTTTTTAGCATTGCACTGATTGTTATATTTATCAAGCACTAAATTCTGATCACAGGCCAGACAAATTTATTAAGAGGTGCACTAGACGCATCCGTTGACCTTGCATTTGATGCATCTTTTGCCTTCGCTATCAATAACTTCATATTTTTGACATTAATTTTAACAAGTAGAAATATCATCATAACTCATGTAAGAGTTTTTTACACAGCCAATACATGCTTTTTGGCTTATATTAAAGCAATTTTAGCAATCTGATGAGCAGCTAAGACATGCTTGTGATAGAGCGTCAAATATTTAAGATATTTAACACGTTTGAGCTAAACAATATTATAAAAATATTAAATTCACTATAATTTTTTTTCCTATATGTGATCTCATAATTTATATCCCTTAGTTAATCTAATTTGATAAGTAAATTCAAAAATTATAAGCAATTTATTATTATTACTTAGTAAGTAGTGTATATATTAATACAAATCAAAATTATCTTTGCGTTCATCTCTTAATATAAAAAATAAATTTGAAATTACAATAAAAAAGTATAAAAATTCTACTATTTTAAAGCTAAATTACAGTCTTATGACATTTCAACAAAATAAAATATGAATACTTTATTTCAAATTAATAAATTTTTTTTTACTTTAAATAAACATATTTTATAGTTTGCTATAAAAAAAATGAAGAAAAAAATATAAAGCTTAGCTTAAGTAATTTAGAAATTTCTAAGAAAAATAAATTTTCAAAAATATATTTTAATATTAAATAATTAATTTTAAATTAATTTTTTGTGATATCTCCTTATAAAAGCAAATTTATAAATTTACATTTGATAATCAATTATTAAATTTTGTTTTTTCTTTTTATCCATTTATAATTAATTAAATTCCATAAATTTCTATTCAATATTTTTGAAAAAAAATAAATGATATAATAGATTAAATCTTACGAAGAATTAGAAGAAGTAATTATTTATTTTTTTATTAATATCCTATAAATTTATTTTAATTAATAAAAAAAGTTTTTAAACTCATCACTTTAATCTCATAAGGTTCTCCATATTTATCTATAGTATATTTAATTTTAAAATATTATTAAAATTTTTTTTATATTTAACTTTCAATTTATTTAAAATATTAATTTTTCTAATAGAAATTCTTTTCATTATTCTTTCACTGATTTGTATTTATACAAAAAATTTTAATCATTTATTCTTCATTTTTTATAATTTGATATTTTTTGTTCATTTTTTGCTAATTACACTACACTTAATAAAAACAGTTTATTTATTTTTGATTGTAATATTTTTAATAAAAAAAAATTAATTTAAAACATTAAAGCTCTTTTAATTTATTTGATTTATTTTTCTTTTTCTTTTCATTGTGCTTGCTTGATTATTTTTGTTTCTTTTTTTTTATTATTTATAAATTAATCTTATTTTTTCATATTATTTCTTCATTTTTTCCTTCTCATTAACTAATTAATTAAATATTTTTTCTCCAATATTTAAAAAGGAACAATTAAATTGGTGATGAAGGTGTATTAGGCTTAGGTTCTGCTTTGGCAAAGTGCACTAATCTCTCAAATCTGACACTTGACCTTAGGTAAAAACAGTTTATTTTTATTGGATTGCGATATTTTTAATTATATAAACTAATTTAAAACAATAAGGCTCTTTTTTCTTTTTCTTTTTATTGTGCTTGCTTGCTTTTTTTCTTCCTTCTTTCTTAATTTAACTCGTTGTTTTATTTTTAACTTTAACATTTATTAATTAATTATTCTTATTATTTCAAATTATTTCTTCATTTTTTCCTTCTCATTAACTAATTAATAAAATATTTTTTCTTCAATATTTAAAAAGGAACAATTAAATTGGTGATGAAGGTGCATCAGGCTTAGGTTTTGCTTTAGCAAAGTGCATTAATCTCTCAAATTTGTCACTTTTCCTTAAGTAAAAACAGTTTATTTATTTTGGATTGTTATATTTTTAATTATAAAAACTAATTTAAAACAATCAGGCTCTTTTTTCTTTTTATTGTTCTTACTTGCTTTTTTTTTTGTTCTTTCTTTGTTAATTTAACTCATCATTTAATTTTAAACTTTTACATTTATTATTAATTAATTAATCTTATTATTTCATATTTTTTCTTCATTTTTCCTTCTCATTAACCAGTTAATAATATATTTTTTCTTCAATATTTAAAAAGTGGTAATTAAATTGGTAATGAAAGTGCATCAGGTTTAGGTTCTGCTTTAGCAAAGTGCAATAATCTCATAAATTTGACTCTTGACTTTTAGTAAAAATAGTTTATTTATATTGGTTTGTTATATTTTTAATTATAAAAATTAATTAAAAACAATAAGGCACTTTTTTCTTTTTATTCTGCTTGCTTTTTTTTTTGTTCTTTCTTTCTTAATTTAACTCATCATTTTATTTTCAACTTTTTCTTTTATTATTAATTAAATTTTATTATTTCATATTTTTTCTTCATTTTTTCCTTCTCATTAACTAATTAATTATATATTTTTTCTTCAATATTTAAAAGTGGTAATTAAATTGGTGATGAAGGTGCATCAGGCTTATGTTCTGCTTTAGTATAGTGCACTAATCTCTCAAATTTGAAACTTTTCTTAAGGTAAAAAAAGTTTATTTAAATTGGATTGTGATATTTTTAATAATAAAAATTAATTTAAAATAATAAGGCTCTTCTTTTTTTTTCTTTTTATTGTGCTTGCTTGCTTTTTTTTCTTCCTTCTTTCTTAATTAAACTCATCATTTTATTTTCAACTTTTACATTTATTATTAATTAATTAATCTTATTATTTCTTCATTTTTTCCTTCTCATTAGCTAATTAATTATATATTTTTTCTTCAATATTTAAAAAGTAATAATTAAATTGGTGCAATGGGTGCATCAGGCTTAGGTTCTGCTTTAGCAAAGTGCATTAATCTCTCAAATTTGACACTTTGCCTTAGGTAAAAACAGTTTATTTATATTGGATTGTGATATTTTTAATTATAAATACTAATTTAAAACAATCAGACTCTATTTTCTTTTTCTTTTTATTGTTCTTGCTTGCTTTTTTTCTTCCTACTTTCTTAATTTAACTCATCATTTTATTTTGAACTTTAAGATTTATTATTAATTAATTAATCTTATTATTTCATATTTTTTCTTCATTTTTTCCTTCTCATTAAATAATTAATTATATAATTTTTCTTCAATATTTTAAAAGTGGTAATTAAATTGGTGATGAAGGTATATCAGGCTTAGGTTGTGCTTTAGAAAATTGCATAAATCTCTCAAATTTGACACTTTTCCTTAGGTAAAAACAGTTTATTTATTTTGGATTGTGATATTTTTTTTTAAAAAACTAATTTAAAACAATAAGGCTCTTTTTTTACTTTTTCTTTTTCTTTTTATTGAGCTTGCTTTACTTTTTGTTCTTTCTTTGTAAATTTAACGCATTTATTATTAATTAATTAATCTTATTATTTCATATTTTTTCTTCATTTTTTCCTTCTCATTAACTAATTAATTATATATTTTTTCTTCAATATTTAAAAAGTGGTAATTAAATTGGTGCAATGGGTGCATCAGGCATAGGTTCTGCTTTAGCAAATTGCAATAATCTCTCAAATTTGACACTTGACCTTAGGTAAAAACAGTTTATTTTATTGGATTGTGATATTTTTAATTATAAAAATTAATTTAAAATAATAAGGCTCATCTTTTTTTTTCTTTTTATTGTGCTTGCTTGCTTTTTTTTCTACTTTCTTAATTTAACTCATCATTTTATTTTCAACTTTAACATGTATTATTAATTAATTAACCTTATTATTACTTCATTTTTTCCTTCTCATTAACTAAATTAATTATTTATTTTTTATTCAATATTTAAAAAGTGGCAATTAAATTGGTGCAATTGGCGCATCAGGCTTATGTTCTGCTTTAGAAAAGTGCATTAATATCTCAAACTTGAAACTTTACCTTCAGTAAAAACAGTTTATTTATTTTTGATTGTGATATTTTTAATTAAAAAAACAAACTTAAAACATTAAAGTTTTTTTTTATTTTTCTTGCTTGGTTGCTTATTTTCTTCCTTTTTTTTTAACTTAACTCATCATTTTATTTTCAACTTTAAAATTTATTATGAGTTGATTAATTTTATTATTTCATATTATTTCTTCATTTTTTCGTTCTCATTAATTAATTAATTATATATTTTTTCTTAAATATTTAAAAAGGAAAAACTAAATTGGTGATGAAGGTGCATCAGGCTTAGGTTATGCTTTAGCAAAGTGCATTAATCTCTCAAATTTGACACTTTACCTTAGGTAAAAACAGTTTATTTATATTGGATTGTGATATTTTTAATAATAAATACTAATTTAAAACAATCAGGCTCTTTTTTCTTTTTATTGTTCTTACTTGCTTTTTTTCTTCTCCTTTCTTAATTTAACTCATCATTTTAATTTTAACTTTTAAATTTATTTTTCATTAGTTAATTAAGCTTATTTTTTCTTCATTTTTTCATTTTCATTTATTAATTAATGATATATTTTTTCTTCAATATTTAAAAAGGAACGACTAAATTGGTGATGAAGGTGCATCAGGCTTAGTCTCTGCTTTAGTAAAATGCACTAATCTCTCAAATTTGACACTTGGCCTTGAGTAAAAACTGTTTATTTAAATTGAATTGTGATATTTTTAATTATAAAAACTAATTTAAAACAATAAGGCTCTTTTTACTTTTTATTGTTCTTGCTTGTTTTTTTTCTTCCTTTTTTCTTAATTTAACACATCATTTTATTTTCAACTTTTATATTTATTATTCATTTGTTAATTAATCTTATTTTTTCATATTTTTTCTTCATTTTTTCCTTCTCATTAACTAATTAATTATATATTTTTTCTTCAATATTTAAAAAGTGGTAATTAAATTGGTGATGAAGGTGTATCATGCTTAGGTTCTGGTTTAGCAAAGTGCATTTATCTCTCAAATTTGACACTTGACCTTAGGTAAAAACAGTTTATTTATATTTGATTGTGATATTTATAATTATAAAAATTAATTTAAAACAATAAGGCTCTTTTTTCTTTTTCTTTTTATTTTACTTGCTTACTTTTTTTTCTTCTTTCTTTCTTAATTTAACTTACCATTTAATTTTCAAATTTTACTTTTATTATTAATTAATTAATCTTATTATTTCATATTATTTCTTCATTTTTTCCTTCTCATTAACTAATTAATTATATATTTTTTCTTCAATATTTAAAAAGTGGCAATCAAATTGGTGCAATGGGTATATCAGTCTTAGGTTCTGCTTTAGCAAAGTGCATTAATCTCTCAAATTTGACACTTTACCTTAGGTAAAAACAGTTTATTAATATTGGATTGTGATATTTTTAATTATAAAAATTAATTTAAAACAATAAGGCTCTTTTTTCTTTTTATTGTTCTTGCTTGCTTTTTTCTTCCTTCTTTCTTAATTTAACTCATCATTTTATTTTCAACTTTAACATTTATTATTAATTAATTAATCTTATTATTTCATATTTTTTCTTCATTTTTTCCTTCTCAATAACTAATTGATTATTTATTTTTTCTTCAATATTTAAAAAGGTAAGACTAAATTAGTGATGAAGGTGCATCAGGCTTAGGTTCTACTTTAGCAAAGTGCATTAATCTCTCAAATTTGACACTTGACCTTAGGTAAAAACAGTTTATTTATATTAGATTGTGATATTTTTAATTATAAAATTTAATTTAAAACAATAAGTCTCTTTTTCTTTTTATTGTACTTGCTTACTATTTTTTCTTCTGTCTTTCTTAATTTAACTTACCGTTTCATTTTCAAATTTTACTTTTATTATTAATTAATCTTATAAATTCATATTTTTTCTTCGTATTTTCCTTATAATTAACTAATTAATTATAATTTTTTTCTTCAAAATTTAAAAAGTGACAATTAAATTGGTTATGAAGGTGCATCAGACTTATGTTTTTGCCTAGCAAATTGCATTAATCTCTCAAATTTGACACTTTATTATGAGTAAAAACAGTTTATTATTATTTTGGATTATGATATTTTCAAATATAAAAATATATATATATTACAAAAAAGTTCTTTGTTAGCTTTTATTTTATTTGTTTTTTTCTCTTTTTTATTCCACTAACTTTATTTTATCATTTAATTTTACTTAATATTTTTAAAAATTTACACAAATTTATTATTATAGTTCTTTCTCAAACTATGAATCATATGTAAAAAGCAAGTATCTTAAATTAAAAAGATTAGTTATCTTTGAAATAAGATTTTACGAATGATAAACATGTAGCGAAAAAAGGATGAATAAATATTAAATGTTTGAATAATTGAATATTATGTGTTTTATTTTACAATATTTTGAAAAAGTTTTTTTAACCTAAAAAATAGATAGATACATTTTGTTATTGTTTTTTTTGTTTATAAATATCATATTTTTATAAAGTAATATATAATTTATAAAAAATCAAAAAATTTAAAAATTAAATTTACTGAAATAAATTAATTGCTCTATGAAAGTACTCCGGTTATATAGAGGAAAAAGTATCATCTAGTGCAATTTTTTCAATAATTTTTAAAATAATAAGGCTTAATTAAACCATATTAAAAGGTTTTAAAAACCGGCCTTAATATATGAAACTTTACTGTATATAAATAAATAAATAAATAAATAAATAATGAAGTG